TTCAGTTGATATTAAAAAAACCATTGGTATATTGTAAAGTACCTATTATAGATAAGTTTGTTTTTTTTCTGTCGTGGAAATTTTTAGGAATTGTGTTTTCTCACCGTATAGTAATCAGTATATATCCTCAATTTTACTATACATTTTTTCCAAAGTGTTTGGTTCAACACTTTCACTGTTATGCGGAATCAACCAAAGCCATTTGAGGCTTGCCACCATTTTGATCGGGTACGTACTAGAGGGCGCCATAGGGTATTGATTGCACCCGGGCGCTATATGGGCTAGCACCGGCGCTGCCTAATGATAAACGTATCTACCACCCCACAGGTTGGTACTTATAATTCTAAAAAAACGAACTCAGGGAGTCGACCGTGGCCGTTCGACCTGAAAAGAGCCCGCACATTGGTTTGCTTGAGAAAACAAATATACGCAATTTAGATCAGAAAAATTGTTTCATTTCCTGCGAACTGATTTATTTTAGTTAAGTACCTCCGTACCGTGTTATGTTTTTTCAGACACTCCACACAGTCTTACCAGTGCCTACCGCGATGTTCAGAAGCTACTTTCCCAGTTTCCACTGTAACCAGGGTCAGCGGCAGCAGCGTGAGAAACGGTCGCACGGATCCATAAAATGTGTCATTATTTTATGCCATATGTATTTTATAATAACAATGACTGAATCACAGTCACAGCGTAAGCGCGTAAAAACAAATTAAATGATAATGGGCGGGTATAAATAAATGTCAGTTAGTTCCCTGTGAATATTCTTTACTAACAAAAAATGCTGGACGTTGATCCGAAAATACTATTTGTAACTCACCAAATAAAAAAAAATTGTATGTATAAAATACAATAGTATATAAAACAACAGAGGTAAATAACGCCTATGTACAAAAAATATATAAAACAAAACCATTATTTCGGTAGGACTCAACAGTGCACAGAAAAGTAAGGATTAAGTAAGTATTTATTTATTTATTTTTCTTTATTTATTCAGACATTCCACATAGAAAAACACTAAACATTAAATATCGAACATATTAACTTAAAACTAAGTGCTTCTACACTTAAGGAACATCACAGCATGCAATGACAACAATATGCCATGAAATATTAACAAAATTGTAATGTAAATTGTAAATTTGAGACGGGGCAGTAAGGCCAGCCACCTTAGTTGTTGTAGTTACAGGAAAACGGTTCTAGAAGACTATCCATGAATTTCGAAGATATTTTGATTGGCATTCACAGATTCTGAAAAAATGGTACAGTCAGCAAGATAAAAGGCAATTTAAACAAAACTTTTTTTATGCTATTCGATCCGGTCTCTGTTAAGGATCAATAGTCTCTATGCGACCAACTGAGGTAAGAGTACTCGAAATATCAGAAATCGCAAAAAACATTTTACCATACATTTTGTAGGGACATATTTAGTAATCAGTTATTCTGGGTAGTTAAGGAAGACCCCTTAGACCCCCTGGTACGGCAATAAAGTTGTAAGCGCTTTTCCTGGGCAACCACAAGGAGTATTGAATAGCAACATATTCAATAACTCAGGGCAATCTAATGCACCGTTAACAAGTTTATGTAGGAATTATTACATCAAGTCTCTTTTTAACGGTCTAAGCAGTATCACAAGGTGGCGCTTTACAATGAGTACAATCACGTATATTAATAAAATTATTGTGTAAAGCGACACTCCTTGCATTCGACTGGTGCACATGGTTACTATAGGCTTGCGCAAGTTTACTTATGGCGAAAAATGACCTTGTAGTCGGGCCTTTGAGGTGTTTATTTGCACTTCTGCGTTTAGGTAGTAGTCGTGCGCGTACAAAGGAAATTAAACAAATGACGGTCGATTAGTGTCTCACTGCGTCTTTATTTGTCCGTAGTAATTAGACAAACAAATGCATACTCTTGACAAGCATTACGGAAATCGTTGTCCTCACAATGATGCGTTTTTTAAGTTATTGTGATTCTTTTTATGCAAATTAAATCCAGCTTTAACCATCGACATCAAAATTGACTTCTACATGAAATACGGTTCTACTCAAATACTGTTCTGGACCTATGTTGGGGCTTTTCAAGGCATGGGTGAATAGGCATTAAACAAGTGTGCATAGGCCATCGTCGACCATATCGTCACTTTCCATTAGGTGAGGTGGACGTGAAAGGCGCCTTTATAAAAAAGCAGAAACTGCTGAAAACTGGAGCAGATCCAATCTTTTTTCTAATGAATATTTAAGTGCTTCGGACAAAAGGGTGGCCCCTATAACAGTGAATAGATGCTGCAGCAGTCGCCTCTACATAGGCAATTAAGTAATTGTAGTTAAAGATGTGCGTGATATTTTTAACTGTATTTTTCCGATTCCATCGAAACCAAGTTTGTCAATACTACTTCGAATTTCATTCCACAACATCAATGACCCAGTTCTTTTATCTCAAAGTAGCTATCAATCAATCGATGCGCCAAATTTCTCATACAGCCGCAAAGTGTCGCGAAATTAAACGGCCTTGACACCTGCTAACAGTAGTTCAAAGGCATTTGCTAGAACCGTAACACTACTTATTCGCGGTCCTTTCTATTAGCAGAGCCCTAAACAGGACCGTAGCTGGGGTGGGCGATGAATTTCAACGCTGCGTCGCCAAGAGGTAACGAGTGTACAAATTGCTGTCTGACTAGAGGTAAATACGCATTTTATATACCAATATAATACTGTAAATAATTTCTAATAACTGCTACTCTTAATTAATATCATGTACTAAAGACGCATGAAAAAAAAACTAATGTTCAATATCTTTATATGAGGCGCACGTGCTAGACAAAACACTGCCTACAGCCCTGTTCCCAAACTTCTTAGCATTACAATTACGAAATTCATTCATATACTCGGTACCAATATGGCACAGTGCGCATTCTGTGCATTACAATAGCAAAGTGAAGCGTAGGTTTGTGAGTCAAGGTTAGCAAGTGTTAAATGTTTGCTTTGTAAAGACAATGTGACCTCTTTTCAGGCCTCGTTGTGTTTTTATACCCTCATATTTACTTCAGTTTAGGGCCATAAGGTTTTTTCTCCAGAAGTCATCACGCTTCTGTCACGCGGCCATAATACCGCCCTGTTATATTCTGACTCTAGTGAAAAGGGGTCAAGTAAAAAAGCCAACTTCACAAAGAGACGCTTAATATCATATTAAGCTTTAACTGTTTCCTTGTTTTTCACTTGTACCCCTTTTCACTAGAGCCACAATATTTCTTGTAAACCAGACGTTGGTCGCAGTTCTGGGTCCTGAAATGTTGGTTTCTGCCCTTATTCATGATGCTTAGAGCAATGTGAACATTCACGACTCGGCATGATCTTCGGTAAAAGGCGTGAGCTTCATTAAGGCGAGTCATTGGAGGAGAAGCGGGAACTTGAACGGGAAACTGTTTTGCTAGATTAAGTGGTTAAGGTATTTATTATTAAATACGTAATAATATTATTAAAAAATATACGATACACTTAAGGATATAGTCTAAAGAATGTGCTAATGTGTTACACGATAGGATGTTCTCTATCCGATCATACAAAATCATGAAAACAGGCTAAAATAAAAATCAAAAACGAATTATTTGAGAATAAAATAACTAAGGTACTACAGAGAACCTGCTAAACTTTGGTTTTCAACTGAAGCCCTATTAGTTATTAAATTTACATGTATCTCAAAATTTGCACTGCTTGTTCCCACTAGTGGGTTCTGTAGGATTTCATGTCCCCACTTAGATAGTGGTACAACGATGTTAGTTTTAACGAGTAAATTTATGGGCTCGTGGCCCCACGGACATTTTTTTAATAAAACCTCTTTAAAATCAATGATAAATTGTCGACAAGAGTAATAATAAATACCTTTGATTATTATTATTATTTATTATTTGCAAAAGTGTAATAATAATTCAGGCAACTTCACTTCCTAAAATCTAAGCTCGCGTCGAAATACCTCGGCATGTAAATGTTCGTTTATTTTCAATGACATATCGATGATTTTATAGTATATACATAGATTTAGTCGTATCTGTATATTAAATCTATGAGAGTAAATAGAACATTGCATATTTTATACATATAGATCTGTTTTGCATATTTATTGTATAACCTAGACTAGAGATGGGTTTTTACCCGATAGATATCCTTTTTTACTGAGTATTTATCCTAAAACATGGATAATTATTTTTTGTGTTTTTTATAATAAAATTCATTTCTTTAAAAAAGCAATACACAGATCTATAACAGACACGTAAAACAATTTCTTAGACCTGCTGACTCGACCTGTAGCTCAGTTGGCTTAGCGGTAGATCGCTAGCGGTATAGCGTAGTCGCAGGTTCATGTCCTATATTAATATTAACGTTTTTTTATTTTCGAGCCAGGTAATACAATTTTTGCAAAAACCAACTAGTGCGTAAGCACAAGTCTACACAACACGGAAACGTGTGTATTTTATTTATTTATTCGTTCGTTTCGCGTGAAACCAAACGAAACTGATCACTGTCACTGATCTACCAAGAACTTATCTATACCATCAATCATTGTTGAACTACGTTAAGATTACACGACAGTTCCAAGGGTTTTTGGTTGACTAAAAACTACAGTATCGCTTCGGATATCTTTTTTGCATACAAAATACAGACAGTAACGAATGTTTTAATTTATTTTAAGTACACAGATGACGAATCGGAGACTTGAAGGAACTGTGCAATCAGCACTGACTGTCCCCGCCCCACAATAATATGTATGTGTCACACAATCTCATTATTTTCAAATTAACTCTAATCGTCGACTAAGCCGCAGGTCCAACGAACTTCCTGCAAGCTCTCATCAAGTTATTACCAAGTTCACCTTGATTATTCTTTTGTTTTTAAAAACAACAATCACGCGGCATTTAATTTCAGCCATGGGATTCGTAATTAAAATACTTTGTAAAGTTGAAAATTAATTTACTGTGTTCAAAATATTTGCAAAAAATATATTAATTCTTATATAATTAAATGGCTAGTATAATCACATGATTCACACGATCACATTCACACAGTGGATCTGTCCAGAGCACGTCAATTGTACTTTTAGTGTCTTTGGGTGGTTACTAAGTGGGACTGTGTCGCGGCGTCCGTAAGTTTTTCTTGTCAGGCCATTTTTCTGCCGCATACTGGACATAACCACGATCTGTTGGCGTCCCTGATGCCCTGCCATCAGCATCGGTACCTTCTTTCTCTTTCTCCTCGATAGGTTCCATAGGGAACAAAGCAGGAGTGTCACCTCTCTTCGTCTTATTGGAATTTTTCAAATAATCCTCCAACTGTTGCAACGTCGGCGTCGGAATGAGCTTCGCCCTCGACGGCGATTTCTGTCGTATCTTATCTTCGTAACTCGGTGACAAGTCATCATACAAACCCGTCAATCGACCAGTCTTCACTTTGGAAAAGACTGGACTCTGTAATTCTGGCAAGTATTTCTCCTTAACTAAATATTTCCCTTCAGGGGATTCTAAATATTGCTTGTAATACCACTCGTTGAATTTAGATAATTCTTGTTCGTAATGTAGCTCCGATAACGGATCTGATAGTCGTATGTAATTGCCGCCCTCGATTTCGTTTCGCAGAGATCCGAATTTGGACCTCTCTAGTTCTGTTTCGAGAATGTCATCGTCAAACTTTGTATAACAGTGTTTTGGTTGATCAAAAAGGGACGATTCTTCTTTCTTTGCCTTTTCGACTTTACCTTTCTCTAAGTCGAGATCTTTTGGTCTTTCTGGTGCCTTCTTGTCAACGGCGACTATTTTATCAGTTGGTAAATGTCCATTGACAGAACGTCCGATAACGGCTAATGAGCCAGTACTGGCCAACTTCTCGTCCGTAACATCTTTGCCACTAGTGAAGATCTGTGGAGAAGTTGCTATGGACACTTTCTTCTCAGGCTTGGGGGATGATATGGTCGCTGCAATGGTCCCCAAGTCGGTCTGGGAGTGATGTGTGGCGTAATAAGTCCGTGGACCCATCAAGTCAATGAGGAACAGTGCTGCGACAACCAGCGACAGGGACCCCAAGACGGAAGCGTTGACTACCAGATTTCTAGGCACCGAGTCTAGGGAGGCCAGCTCTAGACCACCTGGAGATAAAACAAATATTTTAATACTCTGTGTGACTGAGAATCAAGATAATCAGAACCACACACTAAAAATGGTACATTGGTATTTTTTTTAAACAGGTGAAGACGACAAATTAAGAAATTCTCCTAACCGACGTACTCGTATACGTCAGCTGGGAACAAGGGCCCTTCAAGTAGAGTTTATCAAGCCTTAGCTCACCCCATTGACCCATATCATCTTTCAAATAACAAATCCAGAAGAAAAAGAATTGAACTTCTCTAAAGAAGTGTGCGAAATGCAAACATATTGTCGAATGTAAGAAGTGGCTATATAACAACGTAAAATATTTATACTTATTGTTGAAGTTAAAATAGGTAATAAATTAAACGGCAAAAAGTTTGGAATCAACGTACAATTCACATCCCACGCCTCTCCTTTTGTTTGCATACCCAAAGACAATGATTATAAACAAGCACTTTGTTTATAAACAAAATTACGAGCTCAGGATTTACTACAACTATTAATAACTTATAACTAACTATAATCATTATTTATTTATTATATTATTAATCCAATGTTTGAACAAGAATTTTAAAATATACCCACTAAAGACGTACGGACAACGGCACATCAGACTACGCATGTTTGTTCGAAAATCGTCCCCATTGCAACGGAACAAGATAAGTCAATGTGTAGCTTGATGTGCTGGCGTGTGTATAACGCGTGCAAAATTAAAGAAGCGTGGAATTGAACACAAATATCATGATATATACAGGTCAGTCAAGGATTGACCCATTACACGTCCTACTGCCGGGCATGGGTGTCCTTTAAGAATACAAATAATCATTTATTCCAAAGTAAAATAATTTTACACTTGAAAATTTTTATTTTAAGATTTATATTTTATATAATTTATATATGAATTATTTTAAGCTACTGCTCATTCACTGTGCCGACATCCCTGAGAGGTCGACTTCTCTAAGGGTTGCTCTTTTGAAATCAACTTAAATGCTATGGAATGCACTTTAAATGAAATTTGTATGGAATCTAGAGCCATGTCGTGGTTCCATGCATCTTTTTCTAATATGTAGTCTTTAATTTTGTAATATAATTTTTGAATTATTAATGTAAGTTTTAAACTTAGGAAGTGATAATTTTAATATATGCTCCGGAACCTTATTGTACACACGCCAGCACATCAAGCTACACATTGACGTATCTTGTTCCGTTGCAATGGAGGCGATTTTCGAACAAAAATGTGTGTCTGTTGTCCGTACATTTCCCCATAAAGAATGGTTTACCTTAGTTAAACGAATTAGTGGTACCGTGAGTTTAAACTTAGTTCTAAGGTTAATATTATGGATATCTTTTTTCTTTATGGATATTCTTGAATACTAAAAGTCTTTGATGGCCTGCCTATACAGGGTGTAACAATAAGGTGAGATATTTCAGTTTAAACGGATAAATGTTAGTACCCTATATAGTGAAAACTGTTTTTTGACGATTTTTGTTTTTGCTGAGATTGTTCATGAATACAATTACCACCTGAAACATGGTAGCGCACCTTTGCCTTACAGTCTGTACTATAGTCGTAACAAAATAAGAGGCTCATTTTGACACTTGTCATCGCAACGTAAACAGGGATGTGGACTTAACATATAGACTACCTTATTAAACGCTTCTCACGAGAAATCGATTCTTCTGTGATTGTTTAGATTACTTTTCGGGTTTTTTTTATCAATTCTATACAATATAAATAATAAGTAAGTATTTTAAATGATCACAATGACAATCTGTAGTAGATGTTGTAGTGTAGTTACATGCTACATTAACGGAGTTAAAAAGGTCAACCTGCAGTTAAATAGCAAAATTCTGAAGCAAAACAAAAAAACGTCTTGTAGTTTAAATTTTTAGTCATATTCATCGGAAGATGAGCCAAAATCATCAAGTAGAGCTAGTATCACCTGTAACATACATAACATACATTTGATTAACAATCGTATTATTAATATTAACATCTCTCAAAGTCAAGGTCAACATTTTTTAAGTGAAATTGAATTGACTGTGAAATTCGACGATTAATTTGGTTACAATACTATTATAAAAAAAAAACTACGTAACTATTTTCAAAACGTTTCGGTCTAACTCAAAAATTATTTTTATTTTAGAATTCGTGCGAAAATAATACTTGAAATATGTTCTATCATATTTATATTATGCTTCACAAAAATCAATGTTTTTTAATAAACCCAATAAGTTAATAATTATTTATTTACTGTTGATTTAATTCAAAGTTACATACTATAATCTTCCTTAGCTGTCAAATTGAGCCTTTCTGTAACGACTATAGTTACTTTTAGATATCACAGAAACCAACCATGTGTGAGCGTTGAACAAATTACATTAACGCGTCACGAGCCCTAGAGACCCGGTGTCAGTGATGAGGTATTTGTTTTTTTTATAATCTTGATAAATTTAAAAACTTCCAAAAATGGCGATGCTGACACAGCTGCACAGGCAGTCTTTAACCAATTCAGAAAAGGTCGTTTCTAAATTGATTATTATTATATAGATAAATATATAATAATTTTACTGCCTCCGTGGCAGAACGGTTACCATTCTGGACTGCCACGAAGAGGTCGCGGGTTCGATTCCCGGGCCGGGAGAAATATTTGTATGGCCTACATTTGTTTCACTCGTTGAGTTTGGATGTAATTTGTGATTGTCTATGCGGGGCTATGAGTGTGTGCGTTAATATTATTATTATTATTATAGAATCCGGGGCATCAGGCGCCCCTAGCGATATATGTAAGTAAGTCAATGCTAATGCCCGATCCAGTATTATAGATTAAGCTACTTAACATTAGTCTTACCCAAAATAAGGAAGAAAAGCATTCCTAAGCCAAGGAAGAAGCTTTCCAGTATCCTGCGTCCTTTGGGCACCTCTTGGAACACTCTGGCCAGAATCAGCCCGAAGGTGATTATCACGTAACCTAAAAAGATAACACAATCACAATACTTGTCGTGCTCTAGAAATGCGGCACACGATAATTTTGAAAAATTGAATGGAAGTTTGTTACATGAGAATGTTGTAGGTTTACTGGTTTCTATAATTTCTAAACCTTCCGCGTGTTGTGATACACAACAGTATGTAGTTTTGTAAATATGATCCCTTCGACCTCAAATTCATATATTTTTAAAAAATGGCTTTCTCTGGATATTTTGGAATGTTTAACTTTTAAAATGGCGTTTTGTGTTTTAGTTACTTTCTGCACAAAATTACGTCCTCATTTTGTATCGACCCCATGTATTCTTAAAAGTCAAACACGGTAAAAATATAGATTGTTTGCTAAATAAACCAAATTACGTCACAGATACGTTCTGTACCTTAAAACTGATTCACTGAGAAAATATATATGCTTGCGATGCTTACAGTCAGAAACACAGTACAGTTTCACTATGACGCCGATAAACAATATATTATTAAACTAGAATAACCTATTAAAGCAGAACAAGAGGTTAGCATTCGCCATAGTTAACGTGCTCTAAACTAATCTGGATTTACCACAATGCTCTTTAAGGTTCACAGGTCACATGTCACGGCGATGCGATTCCTAAACAAATTAGACCGCGAGTGGAAAATTAAAATATTGAAATATTTAGCTAATCCGTTACCTCCATAGACAGCATCGGCAAAGGCGCCGCCCACGGAGTCCCAGGTGACAGAGGTAAGCAGCGACCACTCTCGGGAGAACTTCTGCAGCAGCAGCGACAACCGGGCTTCGTCATCCTGCGACACGCGCTTCGCCACGAGACACGCCACGCACACCAGCTGAATATACATAAAATTTAGGTCAAATTACCAATTCAAGTACTAGGCATTTTTGTGACTTTTTCTACAGCTTCGACGATATATTTGAATTACAAGACAGCTACCATTATTTTAGCCGATGTTTGTAATTACCAGTTCTCCAGCTAATACCCTTTGACGGCTCAATTAGAGAATGCGCAGTACGTGAATTAATATCTCAAATCATCAATAACATGCATAACAATAACGTTGCTGTGTATACGTCTGACACGTGCTTTAATATGCATATATTTTGCACAAGTCTACATTAGCACATTTTTAATCAATTATTTTAATCATTTCGAAGAAGTCCCCGGAAATAATTAAGTTTTCTACCCATGCATACATATTGATACACGTATACGCGGCAGCACCAAAATATCTCAAATTTAAATTAATAAAACAGCGTTAGTAAAATTACCCAGTTTAGTAACATCCCAACAAGATCAAACAAAGCAACATTGAACAAAAAGCAAACTTACCTTTCATCCGGCGTAATTGTCAAGCGAACAGAGTGAAATTAAAACCGTGAAAATGATATCACATGCTTTTTATGTCAAGATCAAATGATTTCATTTTCACTTGGAATTGTTAGCGATACGATGATGTCATGGCGATAGGTTGGAAATTTTGGAAATCGTGTGATCACAAAAGCCGGCTTACATTTGTTAGTACAATAGTATTTGCGATGACAGAAAATGGTGCTGAATGTTTTGGAATAGTAATTATACAATGGTGTTACTTTTAGCATTAATAATCGCCGGGGAATGTCGCCTCTTCCATTAAAAATTTATTTACAATGGCAAGTGACGGGACGAACAAGTCGTGAGCCTGATAGTGAGCGACAAGCCTATATATAACAGTTGCAGTGCCACTCAAGAGCTTTAAATCGCAAAGTTCTTACGGACATTGCCACTGCGCCCGTTACCCTGAGACATGTAATTTCACCAGCACCCTTACCCCTCCAAACAGAACGCAGTATTGTTCACATTATTGCTTGGCAGCTGAAATAGGTCAGGTGGCAGTATTTCACTAGACGAACTCTTTCACAATGAGCTCTACTGCTACTAAAAATCGTTCAGATTATGGGAGAGGCGAGAATCTATAAATTCTTTATTTCCTCCACAAAATTGTAACAGCGGAGCAGAACAATGAACCTCATGATTTGTACAATTGATGTATATAAGTAGCACTAGGCTATTAATACCTAATATCGCACATGTCTCATGGAAGGATATGCGAATAGACCGACGATACAAAAACCAAGTTGTTGATAGTGGTAATTAAGATTTCATTACAGAAACATGGGATGTCCTGCAGTCAAAGTTGCGTGAAAGATCACCTACGATTTTAATGCGCTAACGCAAGATCTATCGATCGAAGACGTATCTTATAAGGAGTGATTATTTTATTTTTCTATTTTATTTTATTATTCTATTATATATTGATTAAAACTTGCTATTTATTTTAAATTTCTTATCAAGAGTGTTAATTCGGATGCATTACTTTAAGAATAGATAAAAGCCAGTGTGTGAATATGAAGGACATGCGATGTGAAACGAGCGTGCAAAATTTGTATATACACATTGACTTACAAATAAATGGACGACGGGTCTAATACAAAAACCACGAAAAAAATGTCCCAAGTCAACCTATTTAAACGTAGTGACATTTCAAGGAATATGAAAGAGCTAAAACGTTGAATTTAAATTGTAATGTCATCGCAGTACCGTCTAATTTTGCTTGCTTCGCTGTCGAACGAAGACTAGATCGTGAATGACGCTCTGTATACGATTTTAACGCCCTATAAGTGCGGACACTTTTTAGCGCGGACCCGACGTCCATATAATTGTAAGTCAATGTATATACAGTCCATTTTTTGCATTTCAGTAACTTTGTGCTTTAGACTTTCGCACTGGCGCAGAGTCGAAGCGTCGCGACGCGTCCTGTTTTTCAACTACACCACCTGGCGACGCGCGACGACACTCGCATTAGTGCGAAGGGATCACAGTGTGATCGACATCTAACGCCTCACGGCGCCCAAGTGACACGCGTCGACGCGCGAAGCCATTCGAATGCTACCAAGCGTTCCATATTTGCAAACACAAATTTGTACCTTAATAATGGGAAAATAGAGATGAATATGCTATAGGCGAAAAACATGACGCGTCGCGACGCTTCGACTCTGCGCCAGTGTGAGTTGAGCCTTATGATAAGAGTTTTAGAAAGTAAGGCGACGATATGACAGCGATGGCTACATAATATTTGCCCTCAAATACACTCAACTTATTTTGCAGATAGTGTAACTCAACAGCCTTTACCTTGACGGTTTAACTAAAAGCGGAGAACTACAAAATTAAAGCTTCGGTACCATCGTCGCCATTGTCAACTCAACCTTAAAGTCATTCAACAAGTTTAGACTATCCTAAAGGAAACCTATTGTTGTCTCCAACAATGGTAATTAGGACCAGTGTCCACCGTGTGAACGCCATTGAGGTTTCTACATGACGTGGCGTCTCAAGTAGTTATAGCAACTCGGCAAAATGTAACCACCATGAGAACAGGGAGAAGCATTTTTGAAACAACTACAAATACTGTACCTATACAATTTAGGCTGACAAAAATATGTACCTACATGCGGCAGTCAATCGAAATAGAAACATCCAAACAAATCAAGGAAATGAAGTGATTCTTTCTGATCTAAAATTTTGTATACTTGTTGATCAGCCGCAATAATGCCACATGTAAAGTGCTTGAAACATTTATATGATAATCTCAGTCAACCGACCTCAAAATACGTTCACCTGTAGTTTACCACCCTTAGAGGCGGAATATTTTCTTAAACTTAATGGGACCACTACTGACGCACCTTCTTTCCAATAAAAAAAGAATCCTCGAAACCAGTTCACAAATGCGCAAGTTATCGCGTAGCATACATACAATAAATAATAATAATGAAAAAAGACTAATTAAGAACCTATTCCTTTTTTGAAGACGGTTAAAAAACAAAAATAGGTATCTACGCGATTTTAGATCCAAAAAATAGTTTCACTTCCCGAAAGCCCTATATTCAAATTAACCCTTTTTAAAGTGGTCACAGGCGCCCGCCTGCCCGCAGTTTGACATTAAAAAACTTGTCTAAGGGTTCAGCCAGGAATAAAACTGGGACCACTTAAGGTAACACTCTGGAATCGTATCAGGCCATAGACGTAACGTAAGTACATATAAATATTATTTTAATGTATCAGGATCCCCTAAACAAAAATCACCGTGTATTTAAGCCATTGCAAGCAGAAAAATCCTTTAAACAAAAGAATACCCTTTAGATAACTATGTCAAGTATGCCGTTACTTATAAATGGCACACGACTGAAGCATCATAAAATGACTGTGTCAAATGTGCCGGCCGGTCAATTGTTTAAATTGTATTGTTAGCTAACTTGTTATTTTTGTATGTGCACCTGTTCATAACAATAGTGTGCAATTGCTCGTTCAGTAAATGCATCATTAAATGTACATTAAGGAAATAAATTAGATAAAAGAATGTGGACCGAAGAGTAAGTGGTATATCTACTTTTGTAATTAAGATAATCAAAATGATTTGATGTATATTAATGTATGGTGGACTGTGACACCTAAAACTTTAGGTGTGACAGTCAAACGATTAACTTTAAAAATTACAATCTGTAAAATTCTTCAGAAATTGTATCAAAACGGTCAAATTTACAATTATGTAATACACTTGGCGGAGAGTGTATAAATAAGTATCCCACTGAGAAAAAAAATTGTCAATAAAAATTTTTTAAAAATTGGAAATGAAGCTACCTGCAAGCTATCAATTCGAGTCTGTTCGTAACAATAATTAAAAGTTTGCAGTTCCTTGTACCTTTAATTTTCACACATCACAGGCATTAGAATAACTATACAATGGACAAATTGCATTGAAAAAATTGTAGAGGTCAAAATATCCTTGTATGTACCCAAGTTAATTTCCAGAGGCTACTTCACACCGGGACAGTTGCTTCAGCTGTATGAAGCACAAGTCCAGTCGTGTATGGAGTGCTGCTGCCGCCTTTGAGATGGCTCTGCTACACACCAACTGGCCACCTTGTGGACAAGCGTGTCAGGAGGCTTATCGGTGACTCGGAATTAGTAGAGGCGAAACTGCAGAGCCTTGAACACCGCCGTAAAGTTGCCTGCTTATCGGTATTTTACAGGATATATCACGGAGAGTGTGCGATGGAATTACATGATTTAATTCCGCCTTCCCCTTTCCATCATCGGGGGACTAGGTGTAGGCTTCGCTTCCAACCCTATGTTGTGGATATTCCAAAGATTCGCACGAAACGTTACGTTTCCACATTTGGCGCACGGCTAAGGAGTGGAATTCTCTGCCTGCAGACTTGTTCCCTGAACGGAGTGGAATTCTCTGCCTGCAGACTTGTTCCCTGAACGTTATAACTTAGACCTTTTCAAGGCGAGAGTAAATAGGCATTATTTAGGTATGCATGCTCCATCTTCGACCTCATCGTTCCATCAGGTGAGATGGAGGTCAAATGCACTTATATTTGAATAATAAAAAAAATGGAATATCAAACGCGAAACAAAACGACTTGACAAAACAAAGATCTGCAAGAAGTAAATAGAAAAATTCGTAAGATCCGCTGGTTCGTTCCGTGGCTTAGCGGGCATAGCGTCTAGCACAGTTTGTTAGGAGACGCTGGTTCGAATCCAGCCGGATCAAAGGAATGTTCGATCTTTGTATTCATAGTAAATCTTTGTACCTTTATTTTTTTCACCTAGGGCTCCTGCCCGACGTCTTGCGAATGTTTTACGAACATGATATTTTAAAAATATGATATTCAGCGACAGAGAGTTGGATAAAAAGACTACCACTCGCAATAGAACTATACAACGAACAATTACATTAGTAGTAAACATGCTTGCCAGTCAGGTCAGCGAATGCAAGAAATGGCGAACAAATCGATTACTGTCTCTTCAATTTTTGCTACATATTCGTCTATGACACCCAGTACCAATCCATAACCGGGATGTTTACGTAATATTCTAATTAATACCAGTGGTGCATTCAATATGACCTACATTACAGCACAATGTGAACTACCCAGCGCGTAATGACAATGGTTACGATGCAAGTTAAATTACACGTAATACCAAAGACATTGTGACACAATCGTTGAATCACGGGCATAGGTTTATCGTGATCTTGTACGGTTCGTGGGAATCTGTATAGATATATAATTAGAGTTCAATATCAAACATGCAGGGAGTTGTGAAGTTGGATTTTACGGCAAATAAACAATTTAACATGGTTTAAGAAACTGTACACCAAAACACTGTGTTTTAATAGCTGTAGAGATTCTTGTGAAAGCGTTCGTCCGGGGAAGTACTGCCTTAAACCTTACCTATTTCTGCCGCCAAGCTGTAATGTGAGCATTACTGCGTTCCGGTTTTGAAGGGTAAGGGTACTAGTGAAATTACCGGCACATGCGATCGGTCAACTTATGTCTCAGGATGTACGGGTGCAGTGGTAGTGCACCTCAGATCTTTGCAATTTAAAGCTCTGAGTGGCCCTGTAACTGTTATGGACAGGCGTGTAGCTTCCCATCACGCACACGACTTGTTCGTCCCGTCACTTGATGTAGTATAAAAAAAGACATCAAAAACAGCATTTTGAGAAAAAGCTGCGTGATGAATTTTTCAGTTTTTAATAATTTTTTGAGGTTAAAAACACATTTAACTCACGTTGTATATTAGATATTAAAGTAATCTAGCAAGCGATTATAATTTTAATTTGGAAAATAAGCGGTTTCCATTGAAAAAGTAACAAATTTGTTTTACGTTGATAACAGCCGAAATATTGTTATGAAATTACAAAACACTGTATTGAGCCTTGCAGTGTTTTGGTTTGACACGATAAAACCGTATATACCTACATAGTTCATTTCCTTAACAAAAAGGAATTCATGATGCCCTAAGTTTAAGTCTGAAAGAATTTGTTCTTCAATATTTTTTTTAGTAAATTTTTTATAATATTATTACCTATGATCGGAATAGGGTGTTCCAAAGAGTAGATAAATGTCTACGTATATGTATGTAAATTAAGTATCATTAAGTAAATTCAGATCAAATTTTGAATTGCCGCCAAATTAACAGAAAACATCAAGAAAGAAATGTTATTCTTCAATTTCAAAAAAAGAACGATATATTGATGCTTTTTTCAAATGTCTAAATAGACTTAGTCTAATTGGAAAAATGTTAATTTTTTGGAATTCCAGATTTCCGGAAGTTTTACTGCATCATACATAATCAAAGTATCTAAAATATCCGCATTCGTAAAAAATGTTTGCTTTGGTGAAAAGTCAGTTATCTACTCCATTTTTTCACATGGCGCCACTAGAATTATTATAAAATCTAACTTCAGCTTCCTAAGTCAGTAATTTTATCTTATGGTGCAGCAAAATTATTATTACTAATGGTGTTATTATTAATAAATAATATTTAATGCTGCACGCCGATGTCACTTGTAATATTCAAAAATAATGTTAATCCCATCTTTCTCTATATATAAGATGCCTGGCACTGAATGATTTACGTTAGAATACAAAGGCCATGTACAACTACTTCACATTGATTGCTAATCGCATACAGTTCAATTCCAAGCGGCAATCATCGAGGCGTAAACTAACATCAATTACGTATCATGGTAATAAGATGACTGAGAGGTAATTAACTACAATGATTCACTGTGGGATAAACGGACAGTTAAAAGAATATTTTTGGAAGCGGATCTTGGTCTGAGACAATAGCGAACGCTAGGTTACAAAGGTTATTTTCAAATGGTTTAAGTAAGCACTTAACCAGAATTTCACCACATGGTAATGACAATTAGATATAATAACTGCTGCTGCAACTGCTATTCTCGCATAGAATATCTCGCATGTTATGTCGCTCTCTCGCAAGTCGCACCCTGTCACATATGTTTTGTTTTATGTTTTGAGCGAGATTGTACTTTAACTCAAGCAAATTTGTCTGGTTGAATATAACCACCAATACAAACAACTCCTTGGTCATATCAGCATGACAAGCTAGTATGACCACCTATGCACGGCCCTGTCGTGCTGGACCTTCTGAACAGCCACACCAATCAACTGGGGTCCAAGTCTGTTGTGTGTCGATAGTGGCAATGGCAGGAATTTGTACGTTTGGTATTCTGGCTTGCCAGTGGCCAACCATCGAAGTACTATTCAATTTTTTTTTGTATTCCGCGTGCTTTTCAGTGGAGAGTCGATTACACGTCTGTGATGCAGCCTAGCAATACTATATGTTTAATATGAATATTTTAGATAAGATAGAAGATAGTAATTCCCATGGTAGTTTTAGTAGGTAATGGAAATGTAAAAATTAAAATTGAAATTAAACACGAAAGTTAATGTAAAATAAGTTAATGTAAAATGTGCACTTATCTAGCCTGTGTCAGTACGCACCGCTCTTCCATAGCTCTGCCGTCCACTAACTAAAAGACGGCTAAGTTACAAATGGTCAAAATATCAGTTTTAAATAGCAAAAAATAGTTAAAATTGGTTATCGTGTTCAACTTATCGGAACTTGCCCTAACGATGCATAGCTGAAACATCATCAAACAATTTCAATGTTACTAAAACTTTATGACATCTCCAAAAATTATTTTGTCAGACGCGTTTTAGATAGCCGACGGCAGAGCTATGGAAGAGCGGTGCGTCCTGACACAGGCTAGATAAGCTTAATAGGAGGTACCATCCACCATTAATGTAAATTATATTACTGAAATAAACATTTTTTATTATTACTATTAAATGTCGATCGTTAGTTAATGAATGAATGAATGACATTACTGCCATTCCGTTGGCACTCTAAATTGAAACTCAATTGCCATTGCAACTAGATTTTAGCAGAAAACAACTATCATAATTGCAACCCCAGTAGAGTCTCAATGGCATTAAAATGACCAATAATTTCAAGAATTTAGCAGACTTGGGGCCCAAACTATAGAATTCTTTGCAACCAGTAACCAAATTAACTCCGAGGCACTACCGAAAACATCCAGACTAGAACCAATTTGTTTGTCACATGGCTAATGCTCGCTGCCGAAGTCGCACGAAATATAATGGCAAACTAGTTTAATCAAACTAGTCTCTTGGTTTTTTTTCACCTGCTACTTTGTTCTCAGTATTAATAACAGAACAATTTTAAATGTCAATATAAAAAGGTGGTTGGCAAACAGGTGAGGACAAATAGGAATAAAAGTGTACTTAAACATCTAAAGATAGGTATCACGAGTGTAAAAACCGGCATAAATATAATTTCGATGATATTACCGCAAACGACTTCAGATGATAGTTTCTGCATGAAGTGATATTTTTATTTCTTTTCATGAACGAAACGAACGCTCTCTCATAATTTGTGACCATAAAATTTGAAATTTAAAAAAAAAACTATCGACGCCGTAAATGTCTACAAATTCGAAACGATTTTCTAAACTTGTCGAAGACTTGCGTTCAAAGGGCTATTGTATTGTTGAAGAGTATTAACAATGCCGAATTATTCCGGCCGTCACGATTTTCTGCTGATGCACTCTCAAGGAGATCAACTACCTAACGTAGCCGCGCAATTCAATTTGTATTAATTTTTAATAGATTATATGAAAGTGTAAGCGAGAATGCCGACACTCATTTCGAGTTTTTATGTTGTGGACGCCGTGTTAAATAAGTGTAAATTTTATTAAGAAATTGACAATGATTGTAACAATTTTTTCCTACATCACACTACACTCCCCGAGTACCAGAGCAACGAAATTCACTCATGAGCATTTCTCAAAACACCCAGACCAAAACTAATCTAGAAAGATCTTGGTTCTACTGGGAATCGAATCCTGGACTCCTAATCCAGCGTCCAAATTTTAAACTGTTGGGCCACCAAGATCGTCATGCGTGAGAACTGCACCGTCAATAAAAAAGGTAAAATTAAATTGCAGACTTTTGGCCAAAGAAAACTGTTATTACGTTACAAACTAAACAATAAGTTCGAAACATTGAAAACATAAATAGCAAGATAATTAGCACACAAAAACCGCAAACCACAAACACCGAGGTGTAATTAATACTATTAATAACTAATAACAACAATGTTACCAAAACCAAAAAGTCTGGTAGAGATTGCTATGTAGCAATAAGGCCGCCTGTTGTACCTGTCTTTTTATTTTTTTGCATTATTTTGTATTTGTCCTAGTGTGCAATAAAGAATATTTGTATTGTATTGTATTGTAAGTTTAAAATATAATGGTTTTATAGATAAGTATATAATAATAACTTTGCTATTTGGTGTAATAAAATAACAGCCTCAGCAGGTAATGTGTTAAGTGAAATATCTAAAAGTTACATTCAAATATGTTACTAACAAGAACCGATTTTAAGTGATTGCATACTTTCGTAAAACCATTTCCTAATAATGAATACTTCCCCGATACGTCTTGCGATGGCGCAAATGTTAATCGAACGTTTACAAACTTTATTTAGTAGTTATTGTTATACAAACTAGTGCAATAACATCCTATTGACAAATGGAAATATTGTCTATACCATTGCGTAAATTATGAACATAGCTCATCACATTAGACCTGCACAGATAAGCATAGACAGATATGTGCTTAAGGTGTGCTCGGTATGCGAGAATAACTTACGAATTCCGTAATTTTAAGAGCGACCCATTTGTCGCAGAGCGCCATGCCTGATAGCGGGCCAAGTCACGAGCAAACACTGTCACCTTCACTATTGCCCAACAACACGCACAGCTGGTCGCGTATGTGTAGTAGTTACGTGGTTGACCATAGTCGTAAACACGCGAAAGGTCGGCGAGACGGCCGCGCTGCGCCAGCGCACGTCGCTGTTTGTTTCGAACAGCCAACGACTGATCATTTCCACGTTGCGGCGACCTCCACGCCATTGAAGGAAAACCTCTTAAGTCATAGTACGCGTGCTTCTCACCGATCGCCGCCGCCACCGCCGTGCGCTATGGTGTAAGACGTTAGATAAGCGAGTGGGCGTTCACTTGCAGTAAAAACAAACAAGATACCAGTGTTAGCAACTAATAGTTAAGGCAGTGCAACGAAGCAAAATAAAACACCACGGACATTAAAACATTATACTTAAATTTATATTATTCAATACTGGCATGCAATATTATTTAAAAATCTCATAAAACATCGAGAGATAAATTCATATGGTCTCGTTACAAAATGTTAGTTTTTGCTAATTGTAGATAGATAATTTCATAATGCCGTGTTTAATTAATGCTGAGAAAACAGTTCCAAATTGATTTACTAAAACCTGATTTTAAATAGACTTATTCATAGAAGACAGATATATTAAACTATAATAACATGAATATTTTCGTTGAAAAAACTTCAAAAAATGTAGATTGCCAGTAGTGCAATAAACCGCGTGTGCGTGCATTGAGTGAGCACTCTTTGAAGAAACTTTATAAAATATTAGTTGTTTAGTAAAAGTTCTAAAACAATCGTAAAACCAATCTTTCCATTTCAGATCTACAAAAGTATTAAGTTTGCAAGTAACATTTGTGTACTAGTTTTTAGTCAAAGTTTTGTGTAATTATCGTCTTTAATTAGAGAGATCTATTAGTGCGTCTTTAAAATTTTTACAAATAATTTTTTATTCTTACTCAATCCACACGCTTTGAAAATTAACTATTACAATAAACCAACGAATAGAATACATTTCGTTGTCCATTTTTAACCAAAAATTATAAATTATAAATTATTTTTTTGCAATATGTAACTCGAATCATTAATGTGGAATGTTTTTGACAATAAGGAATGTTTTTCAATAATATTGTTTTAAATGCTCACTCAATCTTCACATTTTTGAAAACTAAATAACGTCAATACTTTGCATTTGGAGACTATAAATAGTACAATTTTAGTAAAAATTATGGATATTTTGTAAAAAATTTACTACTACTTATACTACATTATATTTGTAAGTAATACAGTGTCCGTAATACTTTTATTTCCAATGATATTGACGTTTTTTATTTTTCAAATTGTGAGGATTGAGTGTGCAATAAAAAAAATATTGTTAAAAATTCCACATTTGTGGTTCGATTTATTTACATATCATTTATAACTTTAACTGAGACATACATGAAATTAAAATTCTATTAGTTGGTTTATAGAAAATTTTGAAAGTGTGGATTGAGTGAGCATAAGAAACTATTTGTAAATATTTTAAAAAGGCACTTATAGATCTGTAAATAAGATGATAATTTTACAAAACTTGTACTAAATACTAGTACATGAATGTTACTTGCAAACTTAATACTTTTATAGAAGAACTAACTGGCTCTTTGTGAGAACTGAGTGAGTCCACATGCTCTTTGTGAGAAGTGAGTGAATCCAGTTTTGTTTTATCTTTTACAAGCAGAAAGAATGGTTTTACAATTGTTTTACAACTTTTATTAAATAGCAAATATCTTATAAACTTTTTTCAAAGGATGCTCGCTCAATACACACATACGTCAATAAACCTTTCGCGGCCGAGGGCCGAGGGCCGAGCCGAGGTGCCAGAGGCCGTCCCGTCCGCCCGGGTCGTGCCCTCGCCTGCAGTTGCCCTTAATTCATAACAATTAAAACAATGTAGACACATGCTTAAATATATCGATGTTGCCTTATAAAAGCTTCAAATTTTAATATATTAATAATTATGCCATTCAATTGGATTCTTAATTAAAATACATTTAGGATTAATTAAAATAATGTCTAAAATTAAAATCTAAATTTACCTCTCTTATGCCTTACAAAAGGAGTGTAAGAGATGTGAGCGTAATAAAAATACATTAAATGGTCAAACTGAAAGACAATGTAATGTTCATTGCGCGGCGACAACAGTCTTCACTGCGCCTGCGTCGTCGGGAGCTCAAATGACTCCCTATTTTTTAAGATAAGTTTTTTCTTTGTCACACCAACACAGCAATTAAATATCTAAAAGCCATTGCCCAAAAATGTTTACATTACTTGAATTCGGTCATTTATTGATTACTCAAGATTATGCATGCCAGGTTGCGTAATCAATAAGGAGCTTGCCGAATTGAACATTTTCCTGCAATGCAGACAAATACTATATACTTAGCCAACGAATAAAAGTGAAAGCGCAGTAATCTAACGAACGACAGCAACCACTTATCAGTAAAAGTGGGACGTTAACCAAAATTAAACTGCAAATGCTGTGACGTCGTCAGGTACGCACCACAACTTCAGATGACAATGAAGCTGAAGGAACCAGTGATTTAGTTGAAATCATGAACACCGCTGCAGCCAAGTTGAACAAAAGCGTATAGACGTTCAATGCGGATTAGTGCGCGTTCACCTTAAAACCTAAATCTTTGCATGGGTAAACATCGTGACAGTCGCGATCGCGTCGTCAAAGTAAACGTTAGATCGTAATGCATATCGGCAAGTACAACTTTCTCGGTGAAAAAGGCAAACATAAAAACTACTTTTGTAAACTACTTTTCACGTTCAGCCTCGCAGAAATTGGTTCAACAACAGAGTAGTACTAAAAGTAACACTTCAATGATATCCCTGCTTTTCAAGAGTAGTGGCTCAAGCCAAAGTACTTTTTTAAATATTACACTGAGCAAAGCACATTCGAAATACACGAATATGCTCAATTTTATTGTAGATTAGACACTGAGCTTTCCTTTGGTTAACATAATCACGTGCCAGTATTAGGCCAGTATACGATTCGTATACGCGCGTCCCATATTAGGATTGCTTTTTTCAAAACAATCTTATTTGATTTTTAATAAGCGGCTATCTTAGAAAGCCATTTATGTGTCCTACTTCAAGGGTCGAATATTTCATAAAAGGCTGCCTAATAGTAATACCTACTTAGTAGTAGGGAAAAATGCAATCAATATTATGAAAACGAATACAAACAAGACTATAGAATACCATTTTTGCCTGACGTACCGTGACGAACCAGACACGGCAGACATATTTTTTTAACATCGTAAATAAACATTTCATAGCCGCGAGTCTTCGCGTTGCGTCACAAACTTTCACCCATGCAGAGATGATCTGCATAAGCCCTTGGCGTTTGGTCACACAATACTTTAGATGTTGAAAATATTCTAAGGGTACAAGAGCAAATTAAACAGGGACATATATTCTTAACACGATGGTCATGTTTTGGTTAAATATACTTCGTGTGTTCACAAGTTTTGAGACAAACAGACTTTAAAAATAAAACAAAATAATACTGGCAGCTGTTAATTCTTTTTTTTAATTTTGACTTTGGAATATTTGAGTTCATACTACTGTAGGTTTTTAAATTCTTTCGCATTATTTTTCTGGTAATAGAAGAAATAAAACTATTACATCCGATTGCAATTTCGCTACATTTAGCCGAAAAAAATTTTCCGTGACATAAAATGTTTTGGGATAAGCCGCAACTTCGTATATTACACCGTAAAACGTTACAGGGCGACTAATTCTCTGAAACATCGCCAAAGAGTGGTCACCCGCGGTCAAAACAATCAGAGAACGACTACGCCGAAATCCACGTCGCACCCAGAAGAAACTCGTTTTGCAGACTAACTTGTCGCGTGTTTCCGTCAGCGGAAAACTGAAATACGATCTGAAGATAAAGGTAAAGAGCTACACAGACCTAGGAAAGTTCATTTCCTAAATATCGCCTTCGTAAATTGCGAACGTTCACGATGCGAAAAAGATATCCTTCAGCGACGAAAAAAATTTTCACGGGCTAATAAAAGTTCAATCGACACAAGAATAAATTTTATGCCAAAAGCGGCAAAGATGTCCAGCTTCATCATGAAATGTTTCATGTACCCATCATCAGGCGAGTGCGATGGTATGGTGGGGGTTCCGTATGAAGATGTCACTCAGCTCCATTTTTGCATGCAAGGCGTTAAGGTCAAAGCAAAAAATATCAATAACATTTTAAAAACTGTGGTGAACCCATGTCTCATAGTTTATTTCACAACAAAGAATGGATTTTCTGGATGTATGGAAGCGAACCCAATCCCACTGGAAAAGGTTAAAAGATTTTAGAGCTTGTATTAGAAATAAAGGCGGTAATTTTGAGTAGGTAATAATTGCTTGGTAGTTGCTGGCTAGTGTCTACTTATTATATGAACATTTTAAAAATATAACTTAGTTCTTTACATGTTTATGTAACCTTTACTTCATCTCAAAACTTATGAACACACAAAGTAGTCTTGAAACCACAATAAATGTTGGTTCTAGCTGTGTAGACGGTGATTCAATAAGAGTTATGAATATGGGCCGGTTTTATGTTTCCAAAAGAACGCATACAAGCCATATTGTCCCTGCATGCGACTTTTTGTCATAGCTGAATTAAGACTTATGATGATATGTAGCGAACATTTTCCACTATCCTCGTACGTCTACCTTTTTTATATGTAATATATAACTTATTGATAGTACAACATTATTCACACAAGCTACAGCTTAAAATGTGAAGTGCCGAACCGAACACACGTTGCCATGCTTAATGCTAGCTTACGATAGTTAGGAAAGGGATCATATTGAGAGGTCTCGAGCAAAATCAAATAAATGTGATTTTTTGTAAAATCACTATAGTCTAACTCATTATAGTGTACTTTTCAATTGTATAATATATTGGGTTTATAACTAAATCATTTTTATGTTACACTCAATGTTTTTATTAGATTGTAATGAGTTAATAGTCATTTTACAAAAATTCACACACTTATTGCGTTTTACCTCAGACCTCTCAATATATGTGTCTTATCTTCAAGAACACTTAAGAAATCTTTATTTTGTATGTATTGAAATCGTTTGCAATCCCTGACTGTGTTTAAATGTGAATTTCAAACGCCAAGGGACAAGACAGTAAGCACCAACACAAAGTTAGTGCAATCTCTCACACTCCACATAACCTACCAAACACCACGAGGTTTTACGCAACACACTCTTATGCAATAAATTAATCAACATAGACAAAAATTAAATGTAACGCCGCGACCGAGTAGCTGTGCACCAAACATTTTATTTGAATTAAACTGTCAAATAAAAGATACGCAACGTGCTATTTTCATGAATGCTGTCTTTTAAATTATAAAACATTTAAATGAATAAAGTTAGGAAACATTTTTAAGACATTTGTCAAGCAATACGTTTGAAATACCTATTAAAACATTTAAATTGATATTAAAACTTCACTTAGTAACAAATATAGTAAGCCACCGCCGCTGTTACGTTTGATGCTGATTATTTCTGGTTACGATTTCTACCAATTTGTAACAGATATAATTGTTTAGGTCATCCTGTGACCTTTGAAATGAGGGTAGATTATTCATGAGTATTATTGTTTTAGACAACTTTAAAGGTATAATAAAATTACTGTAGTTTTCGCTGCGCCTGTCGAAAGGTTTAAAATTATGATCGTTATTGATGTTTATACTGAATTATCGTTTCTCGTATGAACATTACCGTTCGGCTATTTATTATGATGAAATGAATAACGGAAGTTGCCAAAAAATCACTATGCTCATGATATGATCTTAACAATATCTGTTGCAAATTCATAGAAATAAATTTAATAACCGATTACTTGACCAATTAGTCAAACGTAACAATGTAAAAACGCGTTTCGACCTTGCGTAGCTAACCCATCGTAACACATGAAACAACATGAAATAGTATAAAAAACAACGACGGCTCTGCAATTTTGCTTCGAAGTGTATATCGCCTTGTCATTTTAACTTCGTAATAAATAACGCAATATAAAAAAAAAATTAACTACGTAAATACATGCTTCATATCACAAACATCCAATATTGTTTTGAAAATAATACAAAACCGAATAAGATCTAAACCAGAGCAGAATTTAGAGGAAGATCGATACGAATTTATTAAAGAATATGGAATAAGAGAAGCAACTTTGACTACGTGTAATAATAAATGTGCCACTGGACCTAGGTCTTAATACACATATAGCCCAAGTCACCTCGAAAAGGCTTTTAACACGGTAAATTTAAAGAAAACAATAGCTTTTGAAAGTTGCTGGATTTACAAACAGAATGTAAAGATAAGAAAAGCAAAAATGACTATTGAAATCTGATAGGAAGAAAGGACAGGGTGCTCACTACATCTTTATGGAATCCATTATACAGAAATTGCATCACAGAAAGGAGTGAAAGTAAATGACCAAAAGAATTTGTGCGTTTCGCTGATGAAATGGCCAGTTGCCGAAATTGCTAAAAATTTAGAACAGCTAATTAATACTATCTAATTAATATAATCGCAAACGCAGCGAAATCCTATTTGACGAGTATAAATACGATAAGGAACTCGACACTTATTCTATATAATAAATTATATGTATATAGAATCAGAAAAAGCTTTGTCCGAGCAATAAGAGCGAAAAAGACGTTGAGCGTTTCGCTTCCGTTTGGTGTTATTCGTTCTTATAACATGCGACATGAAAGCTAGGTGACTCCCTAATTTGGATTGCATTGAAACATGTAGAAATGTAACGGTCTAATTATAGCAATCCCGCGCACACCGGGTATTACATTAAAAACATACATACAAACATATGTTTATTCAAATCAATCAAAATGTAATAAACATTAAATAATGGGACTGAGAGTATGACCAATCAGAGTAAAGTTGAAACACATTGGAAACAGTTGATAACAGGAGCGGAAGTACGATGAGCCACCTTATACGACTTAAAACAAGATCGACCAAACTGGAAGGCGAGATGGACGAGAACATCAGGGATAAGTTACTTTGACCAATTCCAAACAAAAGTGGTGAGCATGTCGTGCAAGTAAATGAAAGAGGCTAGAATAGCGTTTACTATCCCGAAAAGACGTCAGCCTGTAAGTCTAAAACAACATGAATGGAAATAATCCATCAGCTAGATTTCTTATATTTAGGGTGATAGGTACGTAGACACACAGCTCCTTGCTGACTAGTGTTTTATGAAGACGTCATCTTTGGTTATTTGTGATATTTTCAGCAAGATAATGTGATTTTACTCATAGGCAACACAGTTTCGATAAAGTCTTTAGTTTGTCTCCTACATTCATACATTTAAAATGTTCAAGCCTAAATATATTTCAGTTTTTATGATGGCACCAATACATTAAAACTCAAGGCGTTTAATATAGGTAATTAACAAAATCAAGACAGCAATTTGCGAGAGCTACACGTATAATTTGGATTTGGAGCTTCCTCGCCTATTAGGTATTCACCAAAGTTACCGACTCAAAGACGTACTAAGTACACACTGCGAAAAAATTCAATTTGCACAGCACGAGATCGTTCATTTACGCACGAGTTAAAATAAAATTGAATAAAAAACAATGCAAGAAAATAGATCATGCTACGTGGAATAATCGCATGCAAGTCTTTCTTTGCCGACGCTACGTCGACGTAGTCGTTGAGTTTCACAGCTACGTGGCTAAGTGCGAGTAAACGTTGGCCACTCACTCGTTCTTGGTAGGCGCGATGAACTCCTGCAGTGGGTGGCGCGCCGTCCAAGGGTTGAAGTCGCGGGCGGCCTGGCGCGGGGGCGCAGCGCCGCCCAGCCAGCCTCCGCCCGCGCCCAGCGGCGGCGCCCACACGGCGCGCTCACCCGCCTCCAGGCACAGCCCCGCGCTCAGGTTCAGGTTGCTCATCGACGACATCAGCGAGTCCACGCCGTTGGCGATGCGGGTCGACCACCTGCCCGGGGGTTAAATACATTCATGTTCATTTCTTGTTCCGCGTGCTGTACACCAGTTAAGCTGCAGTAGAATGAATATACTGACTCATTGGCCGCGTTGGCGGCGGCGGCGGCGCTGCGCTGCGCCTCGTGGATCATGCGCAGACGGCGCGCCTGCGACCAGGGCTCCAGAGTGTAGGACGGCGCTGTGGGAGCCACAGCCGCGCCTGCGCCGCCTTCCTCCGGAGCGCGTGTCAGCTCCACGCCGCGCTCCGGCGTCCAGCGCCCCACCTGTCACACATCTCATTCATTCCCTCTCCAATTTATCGTCATCACGTTTGCCGTACCCTGGTCAAAAATATCGTCAGAAAGTACCACTTTTACAGCCTTCAACCTAAAAAAGAATTATATATCAATCCGTCAATAAACAAAATGGTACCAACCGCTTTACGTCATTATTGTATACCTACGCATTAAATCGATGCGTCTGTAATTTATTCCAATTAAAATTACCTCTCGGTACTGTTTGAGTAGTTGCGGCGATTGCGGCAGCGACCAGTCGACGGCGGGCCGCGCGCCACAGCCCCACGCCGCAGCCGCAGCGGCCACCAACGCCTTACGTGCCATTGCGGCGCCGCGGTGGGATTTGTACTCCACTATGGCAGCGCACGAGGCGATGGAACGACGGATGCGCACTTCTTGAACTTCGTCCGTCAAAGCGTACAGCAGACGCACGATCTCAGCGGACGGAGTAGTGGGCGGGATGCGCGAGATAAATATACGACAGTTGTTGATCGAGGGACATACACCTATGAGAGCAAATTATGGATGGAGTTACACAAGCGACGCGAACTCGTTCACTACCAGAAAATACTCACCCAATTGCCAAGACGGACGGATCATATAGTTGTTGAACATCCGTATGGCGTTGCTCGCCTCCGCTTCGGTCGTATACATAGCGAAGGCATACCTGCACAAATAGAACCGGTTTTACATTGTGTAACATCACTACCGCGGCAGAAAAATCTTCAGCGTTATAAATATATTGTCTAACAAGTAACGACTTAAAGAACTTGAAATAGATGTCGTATGCAAAATTTAAAACAGCAGGTTTGGTAAAATATTCTGATCAATGACAATTTATTATGAATAATAATATCTGTATTAACGACAATTATTGCCACAAGTCATCAAATCATCGAGTCAAAAAGCTATTACAAAATGTCCGAAATATGTATACATTTCGTAATAGCTCTTTGTACTAAACTGCTACTACATAGCTATACTCAATCGTGAGCCCTTGAAGAGTTGTGGCGGCGACATGAGCGTCCCGTTGGGCATTCAGTTCAGAAGAAAATAATTGTACTATACACCTATGTTAATTAACCTGTTGATAGAGAATAACTCACCCTCTATTCCAGCCCGAAAAGTTGATCATCAGGCGAAACTCGAACAGCTCGCCGGCCTGGCGAAACAGCGGTACCAGCGTATCCTCGAAGCAATCGTGAGGGATCCTTCCGACGAATACCTACACGACAAACATATGTTTCATACTGCAGTCTTTCAAAGGAATTCGAAAGAAAAGACCAAACCAGTACGGAACAGCTAATTATATTCCAAGCACATTTTCATTCAAAATGTTTTTAAAGTTATGGACTTATCTCATGAATAACATAACGACATTTCAGAATAAAAATACAAATATAAAATTCCAATATAATCAAAGCCGTTTTTACAGTATTAGGTACTGGTGAGATAACGGAGTCTTTTTCCAGTTGCCCTGTGGTTTAATCAATTACTCGACCAATTATGCGTATCCGTGATGCAACTGACCCGAATAATTTGTGTACCTTCGCCAGGGCCGAGCTTGTATATCTTATTTAGAACTTTCCAAGAAAATCGTGGCAGCCTCTGCAGCAAAAATACTTAAAACAATTCGTCTACTAGTTTAATACTAGTTACGACTGTTAATCCAGGGAAAATATTTCAATAAGGCTAGCACGACAGAGGAGCAGTGTATTTTAACACTTGTGGTATAGCTTGTGTCAATAAATCTATTTTATATATTATTATTGTATAATATAAAAGGGCAGGCAAATCGCTTTTAAGCCGACCTAGAGTCGTATTCCAGAACTCTACTCAATACTCAAGTCAGGACTTGAGTATTGCAGTGAGCATTGAAAATCATACTCAAGTCCTTGCCGTTAGGGTCGTATTTCCAATGCTTGAAATCATACTCAAGTCTGCTCAAATTCTGACTTGAGCATTGAATAGAGTTTTGGAATACGACCCTGAGATCGTCTTAGGCTCAATTTATAGGTCGCGCCGCGAAACGAAATGGAAGCGAATTTCTGTCAGGAAATTGTACCATTTCGTCGCCTTACTTTCTCAGAATAACGTATCTTAAAACACAAAGTTACTGAAATGCAAAAAATGGATTGTATATACAAATTTAGCAGGCTGGTCCTGATTTCACAAGGCATTTCCTTCATGTTTACACACTGGCTTCACCCTTGATAAGAAATTGAAAATAAATAGAAAGTTTTGTGGTCTCCTAAATAATCACTCTTTATAAGATACGAATTTGAGAAAGTAAGGCATCGATTTGTACCTAATTAACTTTACGTCAATTGTGTAACAAACTACTCGTAAATACGATGCCGGAATTCCCGAAACTTCTCGAGAGGTCTCTGGTAAACGCGCGAACTATTTTTTCGCTCGTACCTAGTTTGAACGTTATACAATTGACATAAGTTCATTTGCAATGGTTAAAAAAGGTTGGCTCCCATTCCGTGGCAATATAAATTGACCCTTGCTAAGCTAGGACAAAAAAGTCAGATATATGTTAGTGAGAGGGAGTAAAGATCTTATACAACTTCCGTCTTACACGACAATGTAAAGTAACTCTTATAGCATTATAAAACAAAGTTGTAACAAAATTATCCGAAACGCTTCTGACTTCCAAAGTTGTAACAAAATTATCCGAAACGCTTCTGACTTCTTGTGGATAAATAGCATTATTTTGTTTTCGTACCTAACATAATAATACATTTTAACCTAGTGTTTATAAGTCTAAGCGCATAAAGATCGTACCCTGGCACCAGATAGACTACAGTATTGCTCATTAGGTTGACCAATTAATTTCGGGTACGATGACAAGAGCTGTCAGTCGTCTTCATAATATTAATGATAGTTTGTAACGTAAGCTTCCGTATAATATGCGTAGGTAACATGCCTCTCGATACAAAAGCCTGTGCTATATAAGACGTAAAGACTCTGTTCAATTTTATTGTAATGTGATATTTTTTTATTTAGCTATTAACCTATATTATATTGACAATTATATTCATAAATTATTTAATCTATAGCATCAGCGCGTGCTAAAGACGCATTGGTTTGTCCCAGCTCTATCCATCTGGCTCTGTCTGTTGTCAGCCTGGTCCATAGAGGTTCAGCTATTTTTTTAAAGTCGTCGGACCATATTCTAATTGGACGACCTCTTTTCCTCTTGACATTTTCTCTTGGTAACCATTCTGTTACCTTTCTGGTCCACTTTTCTATTCTTTCCCTGTACATGTGGCCAGTCCACTTCCACTTTAGTGTTTTGCTTTTTGTGGTGACATCCTCCAATTTAGTAGTCCTTCGTATGTCTGTCTCTTTTTGTCTCGTAGAGAGAATGATATGTTATGATACTTAATTGGTAGAAAGTGTGCAAACACTCCCTGAGGCAGTAATGTTATTCTTGTACGAGTACTTGTGATACGTTCTTTGCTGGAGGAATTGAGATTTATCGGGTTGTAATATTTTCTAAACTTTAACCTTTAATTATTACTTATTGTACAGTCAAGAGTACATCAAACTGACACTTGGACCCGTTCTTATCGCAAGCAGCATAAAGTTAAATTTTAACCTCGCCTTTTCAATTTGCTTTAGCATTAGAAAAGATTCGCTGACGCATAGACAGTCACTACAGCTGTATCTTCTAGTATTAGCTCGGAAGTGTGTCACTGTCGGCGAGATCTTGTCATGAAGTGATCTACCACCGAACGGCCTGTGTGTATTCACACAACTTCTACAGACTGCGGCACATCAAACTCAACCTACACATTGACGGATCTTGTTCCGTTGCACTGAAGGCGATATATAATACAGTGGTGGTCGTTCAATTACAAACACTTCTTATGATTGAAGGAAGTTTAACTTCAACGTACAAATGTTCGTGAAAAATATATAAATTCAATAAAAAATAATCATGCAATAATATAGCCACTCAAATAAAAAATCATTAAATGCCATTGACTTACAAATAAATGGACGACGGGTCTAATACAAAAACCACGAAAAAAAATGTCCCAAGTCAACCTATTTAAACGTAGTGACATGTAATCGCAGTACTGCCTAATTTTGCTTGCTTCGCTGTCAGTGGAACAAACGAAGACTAAAGCGTGAATGACGCTCTGTATACGATTTTAACGCCCTATAAGTTCACGATTTTAACGCCCTATAAGTTCGGACACTTTTTAGCGCGGACCCGACGTCCATATAATTGTAAGTCAATGTTAAATGCATAATAAATAAAACATGTCTTACTTTTAATTATAAAATGAGTATTACACAATGTACGAGTATATTTTCTGTTCCTGGCCGCTTGGACGTCTAATTAGAAACATTTGAAAAAAGCATCTATAGCTCGTTCTTTTTTTGAAATTGAATAATAAAATTTCTTTCTTGCTGTTTTCTATTAATTTGGCGGCAATTCAAAATTTGATCTGAATTTAATTTTGTTCAAAATGGGCAAAAATAAAAGTTGTGACGCGTCAACTAGGCAAATAATTGTTAATTTACATTTAGATCAAAAGTGGACGTACAGAAGAATAGCTGAGCATTTAAATTGTTCTGTGAAGAAAGTTTTTAATGCAATTGATATAAAACACATGGAACTGTTGAAAATGTTCTTAGAAAGGCTCGGCCGAGAAAAACCTCTCCCAGAGAAGATAAGCTAATCGTTCGTGTTGCTAAAAAAGACCCATTTAAAGGGTCAAACCAGATTAAAAATGAAGTTTTGTCGCCTGATGACCCCAGAAACGTCTCATCAAGACTGATACGCCGAAGATTAGTGGAAGCTAAATTGTTTGGAAGAACCTCTCGAAAGGTACCGCTTGTTACCAAGCAACATCGAGAGAAGCGATTATTATTCGCAAAAATATACTATATTAATTGGACGGTACGAGACTGGAAAAAAGTTTTATTTTCAGATGAAACGAAAATAAACATGGCAAATTCAGATGGAAAGCGCTATGTTGGACGTCCTGTAAACAGTGCTTTTAATTATAAATACACAAGGAGCATAGTTAAGCACGGTGGCGAAAACATTAAAGTTTGGGGGTGTTTTTCCGGATGTGGAGTTGGTCTCGTTCGGAAGATTGATGGTACAAGAAAATCTGTGGTATATTGTTAAGAAGAAAGTCTCAAACAAACGTAACACCAGTCAAAACGAATTATATGAAGCATTTGTTGAAGCATGGAATTCAATCCCCCTAGCAAAATGTATGACATTGATTGAATCAATGTCACGTCGTTGCATAGCTGTTATTGAAAATAAGGGATACGCCACTAAATATTAATTATAAATATTGGTAGGCTGTGGATAGTAGCTATTTCGTAAATAAAAATACTAATAATTAAAAAAATGTTGTTTTTTTACTTTTTTGTTGTTGTTTCTAATTAGTTGCCCATTACTGTTTATACCTTAAAACTGATATAAGTGTTTGTCTGAAATGTAATATTGAAACTGCACTTGTGTAGTGGGATTTATATTGTTTTTCTAATAAATAATAAATCGTTGAACCTATTGTTGTCCTATTTATTGTTTAATTTCAAAATAAAAACGATTGCGGTGAAGTTTCTTACATAATGTCAAGGACCGTTTGTAGTGTTTCTAATTATACGACCACCACTGTATATAGGCGGTATATAACTTGTTGTACTGTTGACCCGTACAAGAGCGCGTGTGGATCGATTATTGGTAGCTTCGCGAAACTAGAGGTGCGACAACAAATGCACTCAGCTAGTTTTGAAGAGCAGTATGGTCTTGAATCTCGCGTCCAATTAACTGAGCAGGATCAGACGAATGAGACAAACCGACAGCAGTTTTAAGACTTAACTCTGTGAGGCGAGAATAGCGACGAGTGTAAGCAACATAACAACTTTCACATGATATTCATTTGACAAGAAAAAACAAAACTAATCGCGCAATCTCCAAAAAACAATCTATTTCACGCACTAATCGGGCCGGGCGCGGCAGTGCTTTACCCTCATATGATCCACTTTGTTTGGTCTCGCTACGCTCACTGTACATCCATCCTGTCCCGGGATCACATGATATTCGCATTTGGTGGGTTCCGTTGCAACTTTAAACCGACGCCGGGTTCAGACACTACAAATCCGAAGACGCGCGGCACAGCGCGGTACAGCTCCGCTTTACTCATTTGTTACAAATGCATACTTTATAAAATAACTTTGGAGAGAATATGTTTTCTAGTATATTTCATTGAGCTCGCCGCCGTCGCCCGACTGCTTACTGCATCTTCGTTTTCATTTTTTGTTTAAAGAAATGTAGCCTTATCGTGCAGAGCATAGTTTCCCAAAGAGATCCCTGCCCCCAGTGGGCGCTGAAGAATCTTAGGGCGGTAGGGACCTCGGAAGCAATTGGGGGGCGTTGAAACTGTCCAAGGGGTGCTACCGCATTTGAAAAATGCCTTGAATCTATATAAACTGCCCTTATGTAACTATATAATTTAATCCCTCGTGATTTTTTTGCGTTAATATAAAAAAAATACGCGTTTTCAATTCTTTTTTGTGGTGTTGAGCTTTGAAATTTTTTTATCTTGCCTAAGTGGGAAGTGAGCCAAAAAGTTTGGAAACCTATGGTGTAGAGCAGCGTTTCTTAACCTGTGATCCATGGACCCCTAAGAGATCCGTGCAATGAACGCCGGGGGTCCGTGGCGAGCGTACCTAACATAATGGAACAGCAACCGTCACACTATGCATCTATTTATACGTAATTAAGTAAAGTTAAATCGCAAACAATATAAGCTTGTAAAAGTTAACCTACTTTTTTATCTTCTTAGAAAGGGTCCGTGGACTCTTTGACATTTTAAAAGAGGTCCATGACTAGAAAAAGGTTAAGAAACCCTGGTGTAGCGGAAAACTTTATATCACGAAAGATCTAAAGCGCCCCGTAAACGATCAAATAGTTTGTCAAATTTCACGTATTTGTCAAACGTTTCGACCGTCTCTGCGGTTGTATTCCATGCGTTTGTCAAATAATGTTGTAACCAAACTTCAGTTGTCGCCTATGCGCTCACCTTGCTAGATTGCGTAGTTATATGGCTCTGTACGCAATATTTCTGATTGAAGAAAACTTCTGAAGGATAAATTTGCCAAATTATTTGATTGTTGATGTTGAAGTAGCGCTTAACAAACTGTCGTTAAGATAAAGCTTTTCTACTATTCTCTTACTTTTCCGAATCGTGGAGTCATTTGTTTGAGAATAAATGTTCCTAATACACTGTTCCTATCCACTGACCACTGTGAGACTACGGGCTCTCCGGTAAGAGTCCTCCGCCAGTGATACGCCTTCACGGGCGTCTCTGGCTACCCCCGGCGAGACCGTACTAGTCTGCCTCGATGGTGAATGGCCGGGGCGTTCGTCCCGCACGCAACTAGCGTGTTTTAGTAACGGTCTAGATGAGGGCCTGAGACGAGGAAATGCGCGGGGCACGTGAGTTGTTTAAGTCGGGAGCTATGTCCGGACATTTTCGCAGGACAATGCAACCGGCATCTCCGGCACTAGCCTGGAGAGCTAGTAGAGGATGAACTACCGCCTCCGGTCCCTCCAGACGCGTAGGAATTCGGGAACTGGAGAGAAGCCGATTTTCGGTGTCGGGAAGTGAACGTGGCTTGCAGTTCCTCTATCAATTAGGAGATTTGGTAGTCGACTTAGAGTCGGCGGCTCAGCTGTGGCAACGGTTAGTAGCATAGAGCGCGACGAGAAGTGAACATGCTACATCCCAGTACCTGTCTGGAAAATGGGAAAGTGCTGTACGAGCACCCGGGGCGGCTCACCTAAGGCACTGGCCTTATAGAGAACCAGATAGAAAATAGGGAAGGTGCTGTACGTGCACCCGAAGCGGCTCACTAGCCTTATAGAGAACTGGATGAAGTCCGTGCAAACGGGACTGATCAGGGGCAGGACCCGACTTAGATGGTCCCAGTGCGGGCTTGCTCGCACAGGTTATAGGGCCCTTCCCGCATAACGAAGATGTACATAGATACACTATAAACAAAATTTGTGTAGGTAAATATTTTGATAAATCATGTTTACATACAACCTTTGAAAAATTAAAGCTACCTATTGATATTTTGATCGCGGATTGGTATTTCGATTATGGTGTAGGTACGATTATGAAAAATGTTGAACTTGAGGCACTCTCCTTCAAACTAGCACATACAACATTATACACGTATACTATTTGAAGTCATTTTATAAACACCGAGCAAATGTTTCAACTCTATATTATGGAATAGCTTGTGCGATGACCCATACTGTGCTGTGCAACGCGAGTGCCGCGAAAAATTATGCAAAATGTGAGTCCATACACGGCGCGAGGACGGGCGTGTACACCCATGCAAGCCTTGCAAGCCGCGTTGCTACGTTTGTGTGGAGTTCCCGAACTCGTCTGATATACGTTATTATGATAACACGGTAGGCATTTAGCAAAATACATACTTGCATAGGTACACGCTCAGATTCAGAAATAAATACTTACCTCACAATTCCTTGAAGGTTCTGGACCAGTCCACGCATGGGGAGCCTTCCTATAAATTCTCTGTCCATTTATTTGTGTAAGACTATAAGATGTGTTATTTTCTGTTAGAGATAATAATCTTGTTGATAATTCGTACTGATTCACTTCACTAGAAGAATAATGCTTAACTGGTGGCATTTTAGCCAATATAAATTTTTATCTTATAATAATAATAGTTACGAAAATATTCCACTACGCGTACACGCTTCCCGCGTGGATCTCAAAAAAGAAAGAAATGAAATAAGAAAATGGCGAATTACAAACAAAATGATGGCCACGGTGACCTTGAAAACTTACTGAAAATCACAATACTTTTATTTCTTTAATTATTAAATTGAATTTATTACATTAAATGAAACAATTCAATAACCTTATAACATAATTTTCATCAATATAAGAATAAGATGAATGAAAACAACAACGAGAAAACACAGTTCTAAACTATTTTAGAGACGGACGTGCACCAGAATGACTTTGAATTTGGAACGTTTTTCAAGTATTTCGTTTCCTAGATACAATCAAAAGCACACCTCACAAAGCAAAATAAAATGAAACTATATTCTTTTCGCAATCTTTTCTTGTAATAAACATTAACAATGAATAAAATTATATATACAGTCGATTTAAATTAAGCAACAATCACTAAACCTCTTCTCTATTATAAAAGTATTGAAAGTTGAAAAACAATTTTTTTTGTCTGCAAAGGTTGCAAAGTTTACAAAAATAGGATGACCATATTTACTACCAACAAATGGGCACATGGTTTTAAACTAAAACCAAATTTTCGCTGAGATATTTGATTTGTTGAAAGGCTGCTTTTCAATTGCATTCTTAACATAAATATACGTCGTGTCTTTTGACTCATTCTATAAATCTGTTGCTTAGTGAAAAATTCTAGTTTATTTTGATTCATAGTCTTCATAACATTTGGAGTAATTGCTGCTATAGCCTCTAATTGTAGGGAACTTATTTCTTTAGCTGGTATGCCTAAAACAAAATCAAGTTTATTTTTATCGAAAGTTATGTCATAGGAAGTTGATATATAAATACTTGCAATATCTATTTCATATTGTCAACCATGAAAATACCCTAAAATACCTTAGAGGATGGAAGTCTAAGTAATATACCAATATTTTGAAGTGACATTTTTACTAAATTTAAAAAAATCAACATAAGTACAAAGTCACGTCAACTTATTTCATAAAAGCCAGCGAATATTTACAAAAATAGTTATTGATTACGAAACTATTAAATAATAATAACAATAATGTGCCAGACAACCATACCAATTACTTCTTAGTTATTTTTAAAAAATTCAGCGGAACTCACAATAATTATAATATTTTTTAGAAGATCAAAAGCAACTCACATGTCAATAATGCACTGAGTCTACCAATCTCATGAGAAGACCATTTAAAAGGTTTGCCATACGCATCGTGATGCGTAGCTATATCGTACAATACCTGAAATTAATAATTTTATATAAATTACTTAAAATAATTTTAGCGACGTATTTTTATAAATTTGTTCATCAAACCGGTAGGTTAATGATCAAACCTGAGTTTGTTCCACCGAACATCGATCTATTCTATTTAGAATGTCGAGATTAACTTCTTTAAAAACATTAGGCTCAATCAACTTAAGGTCTACTGCAGGAAATCCACATAACAAGTAGCCCAAATCGTCAATGTATGTTCCGTTAGTAAACCACATATCACCGAAGTAACGTTTGTAAGCGGCAGCTAGTATTCCATACTGGAAAGAAATCAATTAATTTTATTGTAATAATGGAGAAAATATTATGTCATGATTTACAAGTAATGAATAGTTATGTTAAATGCATTTGCAATAAATTATTACATTGTACAACAATACTAGATCAACTCAACTTTTCTATCTTTTAATTTTAAGGGTTGCTTTGAAAAATATTTAAGTACTGACGGAACTCCGAAGTTAACGTAATACAAATCTTCTTCAGGTACCGAATTCAAAAGAGACCCAAATGCTAAAAATTCTCTCCCTTGTAAAAATGCAGCTGTTTTACCGTCTGAAATTAAGAAATAATATATAATTATTTCTAAAAGAAAACTATTTATTAATTTTAATTGTTTATTGTTATTATATGTATATATTATTAATAGAGTAGGTACCTAGTTAACTATGAATATATTTATATTATATTGAAATGCTCTACCTGTTATCGTATCCCACGCCAACAGAACTTTTTCAATAGGTATGTATTGTTTCTTTATATGAACTAACACATGTAAAATACTTTCCGCATCGATTCGTAAAAATGACGAAGCTGGTCCAAAAAATATTATATTCATTGAATGGTCAACGCTCAAATAGTTATCAAACTCTTCATAAAAATCTTCATACATTTCCAAATCCTCTGTAAAATGTTGTTAAACAACATCAAGATCAGTCAGTCAACAAAATAGTAATATCATGTGCACAATACCACTATCGTATACATTATCTCTGTTATAACATTTTGGTAGAATAATATTCTATTGTTATGAGTCTTCTAGACGCATGAAAATTTGCCCTTTCACAATACTTAATTGTTACAAATAATAAATACCTTTATCAGATATTGCTCTCATAGAATTTTTGTCATCTTCGTAATCATAAATCATCTCTTCTATGGATTTAGTTGAAGACATAACTTCTGCAGCACTGTAAAAATAGTTTGTTTACATTTATCCGAAAATGTTGAAGTAATATTGCCACTTCAGTGTACCACCATGTCAAGAGCTGTTTCACAAGGTTCCATGCAAATTATGATAGTATATGGCTTAAAAAGTCAAAAGCTCGTCATCACTAACGCTGCGATTGACGCTTGAAAACGCGGCACGTATTCAAAGCAAAGCTTTCTTATAGAAAGATAGAAGGGCTAGAAATATTCACGAGTTTGCGATAAATAAAATGTTAAGTTACCTGAATTCTACTGTATAGAAGACCAACGTTGTTAATTTTAAAATTGCATTCATATTTATCTTCAATAACATAAATTATTTTTGTATGTTCTGTTAGATACTTCTTACGGTTTCCGCTTTCAAGTTGAAAGTTTCGACATTAAAAAGATATTTTGGTGTTATGTAATCTAATCTAGCTGGCATCGATGAGTTATACACAGGTTACCTAAACAAATTGTCTTGGAAAGTATCTCTAATCTTATATTATATTTTTTATGATTACGTACATGCGCATCATACCCAGTTATACTCTTTTATTGGTAATTTTTTATAAAATTATTTTCAGCCAAAATTTTTTGTAAGTGAGCAGACACAACAATCTTCTGTTGATATTATTTATGTTGCATTAAAGGCGTAGTAGTATGTCGGTACTTGGCATCCATGAAAATTATTACGATTTTCTCTTTTTTTATGATACCAAACGATGGGATGAACAAGTCGTGGACCTGGTGGTAAGGACACGCCTGTATATAATAGTTGCAGTGCCACTCAGAACTTCAAATCGCAAAGATTTGAAGGGCACTGCCATTGCACCCTCCTGGTGGTGGCACTTCACGTGACTATTTGTATTTGCGTATTTGACATGTTTGGCAAATAATCACCATGTGTAAATAGTATGTTTGACAAAGCATTTGCCTTAAGAGCCTATTCGATGTGAGCTCACTGATGGGTATCTCGACGCACATCAAAGGAACCAAATAGGCAAGTGAACCGCCCACACTATGGCCATATTCATTATTTTAACTCCTTATTTCGCTCCATGTGTAAACGGTCTTTTTTGTCAGTATTTGCATGTTTGTCGGTACGTCAAATATGTTTCCACACACCTACATCAAACACCCACTAGCAAATACAAGATACAAGTAACCATGTGGTGCCACCATGAAACATAAGTTGACAAATCCCATTACCTGTATGTAATTACTGTTCAAAACCGGAACGCAGTAATGCTCACACTACAATGCTTGGCAGCAGAAATAGATAAGGTAGAAGTACTTCCCTGGACGAACTCTTTCACAAATAGCTCTACTGGTACTATCGATGGCATACACTATAATGCCTGCCATAGTGATGAAAGAATTTGCTAATAAATAATAATAAAGTGCGCCAAACCAAGAAAGGGATAATACTTTCGTGCTGGGAGGCTCCTTTCACATGTACCCCATTGTTACGATCTCATAAAAACCTTTTCTTTTTTTATTTGAAAAAAAAAAATGGCATTTCAAATTACTTCAAATACTTGACAAGTTTTTTAATACTGCGACTGGGACTGGACCGAAATTCTTATACCTCCATCACTGGAGCTTACCACACTGGCGCTAGCTACTGAATCGAAATAAATCATCTATCTATAGATGTCAAAAGTGACATTGGAGTAGCCGACGTCTCACATAACCTATTTCTTGTAAATTTGAGAAATCTAAACCTAATAGACTGAATTGAAATAAAACTCACAACAACAAGCTCTCGAGTGTCGACAAATACTTATTTTTATATGAAGGCATTATGTATTACGGAACACAATAAAAGTGAACAATATCTTTGAAAATATTTATCGTAGATTTGATTTACGTGTTGTGTCCCAGTAGGAAACATGGGTATTTTGGAAAAAATATCAGAGATCGAGAAGGAAATTGCTAGGACACAGAAGAATAAAGGTTATTTACCATTGTTATCATCATTATATAGTAATTAGCTCGTTGTGAAAAATAACACAGGTTATGTATATTGCCGCTAGAAATCATGTAAATTACGTATATATTAATACATAATTTGTAACGTACAATGTGCCAGTGCTAACCGTTGGTCACTTAGATCGTGCAAAATATAATATACTAATAACAAGTTATTATGAAGAAGATAGTCGCCTGCAGAACTATGTTGTTATCACTTAATATATTTGGGTGTGTGTTGGACTATGAGTGTGTGGATTATTTATTTTTATTTGTGTTTATATCAATTTCTATACAAAAACTTCAAAAATAATATTTTCCAGCTACCGAGTACCACTTGGGGCTGCTAAAAGCGAAGCTAGCCAAGTACCGCTCACAATTGTTGGAACCCTCAAAGAAGGGAGATAAAGGAGAAGGGTTTGATGTGCTTAAGTCTGGAGATGCTAGAGTGGCCCTTATTGGCTTCCCTTCTGTTGGTAAAGTAAGTAAAAGTAAATGAAGAAGTATATAGTCTGTTGTATAAAGAGCAGCCTTAGGTTATCTGGGAGAAAGCCAAGTTCTGAAGTAAGAATTAATCATGAACCAATATTGACGAAAGGACGCAAACATAAAGGATGATTCTGATTAGCAGGGCGACATAATCGTTCAGTTTAGTAAACCAATTACGTAAAATGGGGTACAATTTGCTTGAATATTAATGCAAAAAAGTTGTGTGTCAGCCATCACTAGCTAAAATACCTTGAAAATTATTTTTATTTGTTATTCACTTAAAAATAATAAAGCTATTATAACCACTATTGCTGCTGGAAATAGAAATGTCAAAATTATTAATAATTTAGAGATTTATGTTAATATTGAAATTTATTAATTAGTTATTTGGGACAGATAATAAAAATATATTGGATGCCCAGTTCAAGCCTTATTCACAAGATAATTACATGCACACATACCATCACACTTGTCTCTCACTGGGGCAGGACTATCCCCCACTGTTTTCTTGACACACCTCTTTTGCTTCCTCCACTCACAATCTGTCTTTTGACACACACATTTATTCTTGACATTTTTGAAGTGACCTTTTTAAGGTTATTGTCTATCTGATTGAGAAAGATATGCCCAAGTCAAGCTTTCTCAATGTTCACTCCATGTTTGCTATATAAAATTTGTGTTGTCATTCTGTTAATACCTGTAATTCCTTTATGACAAACCATTGAAGCATTCACTTTTCTATTCTAAATTACATAAACAACCTGAAGGAGCGAAACTTGTCACTATATTAGTATATTGTTTCATTATAGTTTTACACTTCTCTTTTTGCATTACTGTTAATCTTGGGCTGCAGCTGGACTGTCCTTTAAAAAGGAGTCCAAGTCATCCCACCATCGCTGATGTGGTCTACTGTGTCTCCTTTTTGAGTTGTGAGTTCAACTTAGCCACCTTCTGAGCTACATCAACAATTTGGGTTTGTGAGTGCAGCATACTGTTGTTGACACAATTGACTAGTTTCACACCCGTTTGCTGCGCTCTATTGCTCGTTGGCAAACCCTGAGTTTGAATTTGTGAGGTTCTGTGAAAGACCATGTCTGAGCGCCATAGGTGAGAACTGGAAGTATGGATATATCCATGAGTCTACATTTAAGTGACATTGGTAGATCAACCTTCATTAAGTCTTTCATAGACCAACAGCTCAATATGTTTGGAATATGAACAAAAATATATTCAATTTGGAGTGGGTCATGTACTCGACTCTCATAATACGTCATCTCTTCCAGTCCACGCTCCTATCAACTCTAACACACACGCACTCTGAGGCAGCCAGCTATGAGTTCACTACTCTAACTTGCATCCCCGGCGTGATCGAATACCGCGGCGCGAATATACAGCTGCTAGACTTGCCTGGTATCATTGAAGGCGCCGCGCAGGGCAAAGGTCGTGGACGCCAGGTACGTTTTTTGCTAAAAATTCCTGAACAACTTTGAACGAATGAAGATAAAATAGACGTAGTTAAACAAAAAGGATCCAATGTACATCCAGTCACTTTCGAGATATGGCAGTTTGAAGTTTAAAAGTGTTTCTCACTCTTATTTTATTTTCGAAACTTTACTATAAGTTTTGAAAATAAAACGTGTACCTCCAGAGATATTTATTTATGTTTATATGTCGTTTTTTTTTTGCTGATCTAAGAGGTTAGACTTTAGGAACCGTTTGGTACATATAACTAATTTTTTGATAATTTTGTGGATTGGATTCTTTTTATTAACTACGTCCAAATCATAGGGAAACCGGATTACTTGGCTTTGTTATAACCAGAAAAATTACTGAAATGAGATTGTATCAAACCTTTTTTTATTATACATTATTGTGTATTTTTTGTAATCTTATTTATTGTATTAATATGACCAGGTAATAGCAGTAGCGCGAACCGCGGACCTAGTGCTAATGATGCTGGACGCGACCAAACCCTACGTGCACCGACAACTCTTGGAAAAGGAGTTGGAGAGTGTAGGAATACGTCTCAATAAGCCGAAGCCGAATATTTACTTCAAAGTGAGTACAAGAATTTTCAATACAAGGGGACACACAACCAGACTACAGCACATAGGTTACCAAAAATTTGGCTCACCGCTCCCTTACGCAAGATAAAAACATTTCATCGCCCACCACTGCAAAGAATAATTCTACTGTCCACTAACTAAAACACGGTTAAGTGACCAATGGTCAAATATCCGTTTCAAATAGCAAAAAATGGAGCACAAAATTCTCTTTTAAAAGCAGCTAAAATTAGTTAACATGTTCGACTTATTGGAACTTACCCTAACGATGCATAGCTGAAATATCATTAAACAGTTTCAATATTCTAAAACTGGGTTATGGTTTTTTATATTAACCTAAATTTTTTATATTAACACAAAAAAAGTCACAAGGAAATAAGTGTATACATGTAGTGTAGTTTATATATAATTCAGGTATTTTTTGTCCAGCACTACCTGGACAGTATCAACGCCCCCCAATCGTGGCCCCTACCTAGGACTCTTCAGCCCCCACAGGGGGTCGGTAAAGACAACTTTTTCTTACTTGGAATACTATGCTATAGCTATATTATTTCGGCCCTGATAGTAGTAGCACTATGGAAAAGTTATTAACATAGTTCAATTCCGAAATTAACTTTTTATGTTGTGTTTTAAATAATTCATTTCCAACATAAGTCATAAGTTCATTATTTCATCTGTATTGTGGGTACGACATAGCTGTGTCACATCATGTTATTTATGATCTCACTGAGCAGTTTTATCTGCAGTATAGCAGACTATTGCTTATTTTTAAATAGCATTTTTTGTCGTGATCTCGTAAATGATTTTGGCTTGGAACAAACGTTTTAGTTCCATCTAAAACATCTAATCAATATATATATAATAAAAATATATACTCTCCTTGTACACCCGCCGCGCGCCAAATACAAACGCACACTTTCGCATATCCTCGTGGCGTCACTCGTGTTGGACAGTGCGGATCGCACGCGCCATTAATTATTACAATTGAAGCATTCCCTCTGTGTTTAAAAAATGACATGACAAGAGTAGATGCGTTTATTATTGTGTTTGTGGTTGTTTAACAAGAGTACTTCAAATTCAGAATTGTCGTATTCGCATGAAAAGCTATTTTAAGATAACAATACATAATAATAATAATAATTATTTATTTGTTTCGAGTAATATTGACTCCATTGACTTACAATTTATGGACGTCGGGTCTGCGCTAAAAAGTGTCCGAGCTTATAGAGCGTGAAAATCGTATACAGAGCGTCATTCACGCTTTAGTCTTCGTTTGTTCGACTGACAGCGAAGCAAGCAAAATTAGACAGTACTGCGATGACATTACAATTTAAATTCAACGTTTTAGCTTTTTCATATTCCTTTACATGTCACTACGTTTAAATAGGTTGACTTGGAACATTTTTTTCGTGGTTTTTGTATTAGACCCGTCGTCCATTTATTTGTAAGTCAATGATTGACTCACATGATTTGTAAGTAAACAATTTAATACCAATATTGGTTGGGTACAAAATTATACACAAGACTCTGCTGGTACTGGTACTCATTTGTCCTGCAGATTTTCCCGACTTAAAGGCAGAATCAAACACATGAATTTGCCCTTTCTTTTTATTGATTAATGGCTTTTAATTGAAACAAATAATAAAAGAATTTGATTAATTCAATTAATTGATCAATTCAGTCATTCGTCATTTCACACAATTTGTATTACTTAAATTTCCAATTTCCCACTTCTCCTTACAGTCACTTTAAAACAAAAATCTATTTGGTGTCGGTCTTTTTCGCGTTTTTGATACTGTATTGACTGCTTTTGAGAACAAACAAATGGTGGCATACAATACACAGCCAAGTAATCTGTGGTAAAGGTTGTCATTTAAAAAAAAATCGCTAATGAGGTGCCCTAAGTAGGAATTATTCGAAACGATACGATACTTGTCAAAAAGTACTAATACCTGAAAAGTATTGAATGAAAAGTATCGAGTACAAAAGTATCGGTATCGGAGGGAAACGTACTCGATACCAAAAAGTATCGATACTTTTTCCGTGTCCCTATCTGCTGGATACATGTGAATCACAACAGTGCCTCATCATGTACGGACAGTCGAGCCTATCCGCTATCGATGGGGTTGGGGCTGGCCCGCACCCGGCGCACCAGGGCCGTGCTTCGCTTAGGCAACGAAGCAATCCACTTTAACTTAAAGCCTATATGTATTCGACTGTGTCAAATTTCATTTATAGAATCGTCATGTATACAGGTATGCAAACTCGCATTTCATTTCTATTTGATACTCATACTCCCGTAACCGAGATATCAATCCACGATCCTGGTATAAAAATATACAGTGCTAAGTTATTTTATTAATTTTGTATGAAAAACCTTTTTATTAAATTTGACCAACTTCTGCTGTCTCGATTTTTTTCTTCCGGTACAATGAAGTCATCCTCATAAGAAACTGAGTGTAGTAGCATTAAAAAAACAGTGAGTTTTATTAATTTTGTATGAAATAATATTTTATGAAATCTGACAATCTTCTGCTGTCCCATTTTTTTCCTCCAATACAATGAAATGATCCCTTTGTGAAACAGAGTCGATCAGCACTAAAAATAATTTTGATCACTTTTATTCATTTTTATGGACAACTCACGCTTGAACAAAAAATTTATTATGCCATATTTTTTTCAGAAAAAAAGACTTAGGTACTGGTTCCTAAGACAGTTTCCTTGTATCTTCTATGGTTTCGGATTACTCCATACTGTCGCATTTAAAACAAAACACTACAATTATAAGTACTGCCTTTGACAAAGGTTATTTCAATAATACACGTGAATGTGCTTTGAGTGACGTGTCCCGAACAGGCGGGAGTTGAACACTTATCTTATTACTATGAGTGGTCGGAATAGTGTGTTCCAAATGAGTAGATAAATGTCTACATACAAGGAGTGACACGGAGTACTTAAAACCACCAAATGTTAATTAATGAATTTTCGAATCCCGGATTTCTGGAAATAGTTTTACAGCATCGTAGGATTAAAGTAATTGTAGTGGCGCTGTGGAAAACATGCATTAGATAACTGACCTTTTACCAAAGTTATAATTTTTTAAATAAGCTACAAGTAAAAGCTTGTTTTAATATTGCGGATACTGTAGATACTTTTCAAACTGTGATAGTTTAAAAACAAGCATTACATAGCTCTTCTACAGTTACCTAAACCGTATTTGCCACAGGAACATTCTTAGGAAGCCATCCCGTCGTTTTGCGGTTATTTCTAACTCAAATATCAGACTTCAATTTCTTACAGTCTTATTAACAAGCCAATATCACGTTTTATTTTATATTTCGCCAATTCATCTTGTTTCTAATAACGAACAAAAGGCTCTATGGCGTGCATTTTATAGATACACAAAAACTTTTTTTAGGGTTCCGTGTTCTAAGACGTCTGTTCGTTCTACGTTTGGGTTTTACTAAAACTAACTTCTCATGTACCTTTTTCAGATTAAAAAAGGTGGTGGTCTGTCGTTTAACTCAACATGTCAACTCACAAAAGTGGACGAGAAAATGGTGCAAATGATCCTACATGAATACAAGATTTTCAATGCTGAGGTAATATTTCCAATTAAATTCAGTATTACCACTAGACTTTAAGCCTAAATATTCTTCTTATAGCATACAAGTGTAACAAAAAGGCCCAATATATAAAAAAAAACTATGGACGCCTTTCACGCGATCATATATTGAGGCAATGCTGCCGATATTAATAGAATCTTTGTCCTGCAGAAACGTGCGGGTAGGGCAATTTACAATCTGGGCCCCAGAGTCTCTATGAGAGATAAGTTTAAATAGATTAACATTCTTATACTAACGACACAGTACATTTATGAAAATGTTATTTATGTTAAGAAAAATATTAATTTTTTATGAAGAGTAGTGACAGACATAACGTTAATACGAGGAATAAAATTATACTAGCTGTCCTTGACAGTCGTCTTCATAAAGTCTCAAATTCATTGAAGGGGCAATGTATACGCTTCTACAATAAGATTCCGATTGATATTCAAAATTTGGCTTTTACAAGGTTTAAAACTATTGTGAAACACAAACTTTTTACTAAACTTTGTTATACAACTTTTGCATACTTGGATGACAAAGATCCGTGGTAGTGACCCGTTTAGCTTTTTCAGGTATTTTCGATCTAAGATGTTTAAATTAAATATAGATAATGATAAATGTATCCAAATGTATATTTACAAAGAGCGAGCCCTAGAGTTTCTTGCGCATTCTTCTCAGGGGAATCTGCCTTACGAATGAGCAGTAGAATTTAATCAGTATGACGTGTAATGTGCTTAGCTGTGAAATAAAGATTATTTGACTGTAACTTTATATCGTTTTGAAAGAAATTTTCGTGATGGGAGACAAACTTACCAGTATGTTAATAATTGTTAGGTGCTATTTCGCGAAGACTGCACACCGGATGAGCTGATCGACGTGATCCTCGCGAACCGAGTGTACCTCCCGTGTCTGTACGTGTACAACAAGATCGACCAAATTTCTATCCAGGAGGTGGACAGGATAGCTCGAGAGCCTCACTCAGTTGTCGTCAGGTTTGTATAACATTTTCTCTGTAGCGAAATTATTAGAGATAGAGATATATTTATACGTACACATGCACAGTATGCAATACAATACACTAAACATATTTTTTTAAGATTACACATAAGTGTTCAGCGTGTTGCGTCATTAACTGGCATTCAAATATATAATAGAAAATATTATACAATGTTCGCATTTATTCTTAAAATCATATAACATTATATAATTTAAATCATATCCTATTACATTATATAACTTTTTTTTCATGGAATAATATAATTAAAGAAAAATTATGATTTAATAAAAAAGAGGCATGCATATCAAAGTAGATATGAGCGCCGGCCGGGCCGCCGACGCCGCCCCGCCGCGTTTTTCCTCGCGCCGCCGCCGCCGCCGCCAATAAATGCAATCAGCGCGCCGTTCAGTTCGATCAGGCGCTCCGATCGTACGCACGCGCACGCTTCGTATTGTGTATGTAAAAATGGCGACGCCAGAAATTGACAAATTATTTTTTTAAGCAAACATCTTTAAATATAAAGTCACTAACTTTTGTCGCCCATCTGTGCCACCTATGCTGAGGCCGGACGGCACGCTGGCCTATACTGCAGAAGACAAGGCAAATCTTTTTGCCTCACTCTTTGCAAAGAGTTCGCGTCTGGATCTCTTCTTACCTCAGGCTGGTTGCACTATGGCGCCAATTCGCTTACGCCAAAAAGAGGTACTTAGAACTCTGCGGAATCTAGACGTAAATAAAGTTAGTGGGCCAGGTGGAATTCCAACACTAGTCCTACATAACTGTGCGCCTGAGTTGTCTCCTGTTCTCACACGCCTACGCCTGTCCCGCCTCTCACTTGGTGTAGTTCCCAGGTCGTGGAAGCTTGCAAACGTGCAACCTATGCCGAAAAGGGGAAGCAGAGCTGACTCTGTCAACTATAGACCTATTTCAGTCACTTCCATGCTCTACAAGACTGTGGAACGTGTACTCAACAACCGTCTCCAGTCGTACCTTGAAGACAACGACCTCCTCAGTGATCGCTAGTACGGATTCCGACGAGGGCGAGCAACTGGGGATCTTCTTGTGTATGCCTGTCACATATGGAGCGAGGCTATAGAAAAGCAAGGTGAAGCACTTGCAGTGTCTTTGGATATTTCTAAAGCCTGCACGCAAACATACTTCATAATCATAATTTCTCTACGTATACACAATATGGAAGCGTGCGCGTGCGTACGATCGCAGCGCCTGATCGAACTGATAAAAATTTGATTGCTATAGAAAATACGTTATTTTATTTTTTCCTTTGAAAAAGTATTTGTATATTTGTATTTGTCGCGCTCACGCCGCGGGAACGCCGTCGTCGCCGACACTTTTTCGTCTGCGCGTCGCCGCCGGTTGGTCTATTATCGGCGCTCGTATCTATCAAAGTAATAAATACATATGTAGAGGGGTCACAGACTTCAAATTTTAAATGTCAAAAACTCAAGGAATTCAAATAACGCTTTCTTCAATCTAGACGTAGGTAACATTTCTGTATCGTCAGGTAATACATTATATAATTATACGCACATGTTGTAGTTTTTTTGATGTTAATAAAAAAACTATGTTTTTTGACAAAAATACGCATCTCGAATATATACAAGGAAGGAAGGGACAATATTCTTAATTTTTTTTAATAAGGGCTTGCAGCTATCTCTCATACCAGCATCACACTTCGCCCTTACGCTCTTCTTCCGTAGGATAAAAGGAATGATTGATCAATAATTCATTATTTATATTTCCGCTTTTAAGGCGAAATGGTGTCGTGATTGCATAGGTTCTGAAGAGTGTGAGGTAGACGCAGAGGGGAGCGTCTCAAATGTACTATACTTAAACATATGCCTTTTAGAAATGAAGAATACTCTTTTATAGAGTAAAATGGGTAAAATGAGCTCATAGTCTCCTAACGTATTTGTATATGTGTAGAACCCGTGATCTCTGCGTGGCAGACCAACATGGCCACCGAGGCAGTTATTGATTGTAAATGATTTTTCCGTATTTGAAAATAGTAATTAAATCAAATCATTTATATCAGACCAAGCAAATCCATATACATACAATTACATAATTAAAAGTGCCAATCAATAACATCGGAAATTAAAATTAAAAAATTAAATACATAACATAAAAATTGTAACCAAAATAAACAAATTAAAGGAAAACAAAACAAATTTCATTATTATTGAATTAGAATATGATAAAATTACATTAAATATAAATTAAAATTAATTTAGCATTAAATTAAAACAAAACGTGAAAATTTTGCGGAACTATGTGAGTTTTTCTTCGTGCGAAGATTGTTCAATAATGTTCCGGGCGCCATAGTTCATCACCGGTATATTTCATTTTCATTATTATACATATAATAGAAATAGAAACCATTTATTGTAACGCCACATTATAAAAAAAAACACAAAAACAAAGACTAATATAACTAAAATTGAAATAACACAAAGAACAGCGTAAAAACATTTCAACAACAAGTTGCATAATACTATACTGACATGTGTGCGGCTGTGGCGTGTACAACAGGATCCCATTAAGCGAAAGTCACAACCAAGGCTAGGTTGTGACGCTGGTTTTCAATGGGCCCTAGCCGAGTGAGTGAGAGTGACGGACGTATGCGTCCCGGAACAGATAATAAAATAAAATAAACTACGTAAATACTTAATCATGAGTGTGTATAGTGTTATTGCAGTGTGTACTCTTATATCGAATAAATACTTACATAATCTTTGCAATATATACATACAGGTATAAGTGTGTGTAGTGTGAAAACAAATTAATAAAATATTTAACACATATTTAAAGTACATTACTTCAAATATATTAAACAAGATTATCTAGTTTCGTAAAATAAAAGTTCTTTGACTTCAACATTAAACAACTCTTGTTCTTAAGCAGTTACTATTTCGAATAATGCTATGTGAATTAACATGTTTAAATGTTTACGATTATTAAGTCAAATAAAAATATACAATCAAAATAACGTATCACTGTTATAAACATCATTCCATTATCATATTTTATTAGAAGTAATTCAATTGACTCTAAAAAAATAAAAATAAAAGATATAGGAGCGCAAGATCCGCCATGTTTGACACGAGTAATAATATGTCGCTAACGGTTAAGAAAATCGTAATGATGAAACCTACACCTTGAAGAAGGTTCTTAACCCTGAGAAAATTATTTCCAGCTGCAACATGAAGCTGAACCTGGACTACCTGCTGGAAACGCTATGGGAGTACCTGTCCCTCATCAGGGTGTACACCAAGAAGCCCGGACAGCCGCCGGATTTCGACGACGGACTGATCTTGCGAAGGGTAAAGAAACTTACACCTTTATCGTTCCATCCATGTTCAGGATGGAGACACCTTTCACGGTCTTTATTGGCTCACATATTAAGTTGGTTGTGCAGAAAGGTGGTTGGGATGACATCTGGTTACCGACGTATAATGAAACAAGAACTAGTTAGTGTCTTTTATTCACTCATGATATAAACAGAAGTGAATTAATAATTGCATTACAATATGAACAATCTTATACCTACTTAACATTTCCTTCAATACGCAATCCAATGACCCACTAAAGATGTCACGTTACATGCCATTTTTGCATATGCGAATACCTGTCTTCTCCCTTATCGTAACTATCATTCAGCGACTCGCCTATCCATAACAGTTGCAGTGCCACTCAGAGCTTTAAATCGCAAAGATCTGAGGGGCACTGCGCCCATCGCCTGAGACATAAGTTGTCGAGTCCCATGTGTCTGTAGTAACCGGAACACAATAATGCTCGCATTACTGCTTGGCGGCAAAAATATTTAAGGTTAAGGTTTGACCTAACATAATCTATTCTCAGATCTTCTCCAATATATACTTATGAACATATTTACTGGCCACATAGCAGATAATTAAAAAAAAGTATTATATCGATCGTTTCATTTCGATTAAACGTTCTGTTATATTTTGCCAATGGTTCATAACAACGTGTACATCGCGATGTTTTAGAGATGACACATTGTTCTGGCAAACGGGCGTATGAAGGTTGTTTTCACAATTGAGCCTTTTTTCATCGTTCCTCTATCTATGGTCATAAGTATAACATTCCGGAGACTTACCTTACCTAGAATACATTAAAAAAATACAAAAAGAAATCCACTGTGAAAGACCAACACACGACAGACGGCCACCGAAGGTATTTCATCACTTTTGGTATGACATTCTTGTTTATAATGCTTCTCTGGAATGAAAAAATGTAGCGCATCACTAAACTACAAAATCGAATTGATATCTCGGACTTCACACACCCTTACATATTGAGAAGTCTCTCTCTATCTAGGCTTTTATGATCTACAAATAATATTTACTAATTCCTACTTTTACTATTATTATAATTTTTTATTTCTGTCTTGAAGAATTCTGTCAATGTCTAGTCAGTCATGGGGGATATACTTTTTACAAATGTATGTTTAACCTCCTAACACCCCCCTGGGTCCCTACCTATAACGGGAAGAGCGCTAAATGCCCAACGGACATGAAAATGTATGTATGTATCTAAACACTTTATTGCACAACAAATCAATTTACAAATATTTAATAAAGAAATAAAACGTCAGTGTACAAAGGCGAGCTTATCCCATTTCTATCAAGCACATATGCCCACAATTTTTTATTATTGTTATTGTATTTTCTAGACACCCTATGGTCACTAAATTGAATACGATATTTTCATTATGTGTAACGTTTATGTACATTTTGATGTACACTGGGCCTTAGGAGATAAATTTGAGACGGGGCAGCAAGGCCAGCTACATTAATCGTTGTAGTTACAAGGAAACGGTTCTAGAAGACTATCCATGAATTTTGAAGATATTTTGATTGGCATTCACAGATTTTGAAAAAATGGTACAGTCTGCAAAATAAAAGACAACTTTTACAAAACTTTTTTTATGCGATTCGATTCGGTCTCTGGTAAGGATCAATAGTCTCTATGGGACCAACGAGGTAAGAGCACTCGAAATGTCAGAAATCGCAAAAAACTTTTTACCATACATTTTGTAGGGACATATTTAGTAATCAGTTATTCTAGGTAGTTAAGGAAAGTAACAATAAGGAAAGTAACAAATTGACAACGTATTATATATTTCAAAATAAAAACAATGACAAAAAGCAAAATAACAAAAAATCTATGCCAGTAAGTACTCGAATAGATTGCCGCCTTGGCGGATGCATTGATTCGCTCTCTTTCGCAAAGAGCAAGTAAGTAGAAAGTAGAAGTAGAGTGCAAGTGCGTCTTTTATTCTAGAACACTGTTGTATTTTTTTTATAAATTTCATTTTTTACATAGCTCTGAAGAAAAAAAAACAAGTGGCGTCAGATCAGGACTGCGAGGTGGCCATTTGATAGGCCCATGTGTTCCAATTCATTTTTTTCCACATTTGAGAACATTTTGATTAAAAATCGTATTAAAAGTGACAATTCGATATTAACAAAACGAAACAAAGCTGTTCCAAATTTAAAAAAGAATGATATGATTATAATTTGGTTTTACTTAATTTTTATTTATAAATTAGTGGCCAGTTTCTTTTCTAACAAAATGTTTTCATTTAAAATGCGTGGTAAAAGGTTTTTTGCGATTTCTGATATTTCGAGCACTCTTACCTCAGTTGGTCCCATAGAGACTATTGACCCTTACCAGACACCGGATCGAATGGCATAAAAAAAAGTTTTGTAAAAATTGCCAAAAAAAAATCATGGATAGTCTTCTAGAACCGTTTTCCTGTAACTACAACGATTAAGGTAGCCGGCCTTGCTGTCACATCTCAAATTTACACCCTGTATATTGGTACTAGCAAAGGGTCGAGTTGTATTTTTTTCAACTCGAGTGACTCGACTAGGTGTATGACGTAGCAACCGCCAGTCGCGAGTACAACTCGAACCAACGATTCACCGAGAGGTATCCTCCTAGGATACCTCTCCGCTGCGGGGGCAGCGGGAGGTTATGCTGGACTTCTACCGGCTAAAACCCCGCGGTGGCCTTCTCGGGTGCTTTAGTGGGAAGGATCCGGGATCGAGTTTGCGCACCGGAACTCCCCCAGCACCTAGGAGGAGCTACGTCCTCCCCTTCCTGTCCTCACGACGAAGCGGGCCACTCCGCCCCGTCGTCCTCCTCGCGGCTGCCTAACTTCGCGGCTGCCTAACGCGAACGAAGTCCCCGCTTCGATCGCCCGCAGCCGCGAAGGTACACCGCCGCCGAGCAGGATCGGCCCTCTCCCGATCACCCTCGGCGACCTCCTTCTGAAGCATCACCGCTTCACAGAAGGAGACCACTGCCTCATGGGACTCTTGATCCGCCAACATAGCCGCTACTATGCCTGGCGGAGAGAGATCTCGCCCGATCCGGGCAACCAGGATGTTCCGCTCGGAGGCCCATGCCCGCATGGAGAGTATCTGTGTCGAAAAGTGAATTATTTCTACTTACCCAAGTCAAAGTGACGACGTTTTATTTGTACAGTTGGCATCTTAAAAGCGAATTTTTTAATTATTTTTGTTTTAATTTGTGAAATAATATTTACACACACTGAAACACTTGTTTAATGCAGTAAGCATCGAGTATATAATCAGAATTAGAGACGAAATGTCATTTAATTTGTTTGAAAACTATTCAGCCAAATCATTACTGTGACAACTGTGTTCCGATTGGCCAGCCCGAATTCGAAACAATTGACGGGTGTCGTCTCTTGTTGTTTGTTTTTTTTTTTCCACTTCAAATCTTCCAGTTTAACTTGAGCTTTGCTATAATGGACGAAAATTGAAAAATTACATATTCAATATTTAGTTACCGATGAAATGTGATTCCGTTTGTTTTGTAATTAGATGTTTTGCTTTTTCCCACACCACCGAATGGAACGGCCCCCATTGTTAGAGATATTATCTTGATTACAATAAATACAGAATATTTTTGGAATATACGGAGACGTACACACAGGTCGATTGTTGACGATGTACTATTCAGTTTTCTAATTTGTGTTTTCAGCACAAACGATGATACGCGCTTGATTTTGTGATAGGAATTTATTTGCCTATTCACTTTGTATTTCAACAGCCCTAAATTTTAGCTTTTGTAATCGGGATATTTATTAACTATGATAAATAAAATAAATATTGTTTAATCGCGTGTAATTTTTGTTTGTTGTTAAAATTGGCTAATACAATTTTGTTATTTAAATTTAAAAAAGACATTCATTCTCTTTCAAATGTTTTATTTACGTTTTAGGACAATTCACAGTGTAATTACTAACACAGCTTTTATACAATCAGGATAAGTATTAATTTGCACATTAAGGAACTTCCACATTTGGGAATACAAAGTTTTTAAGAAATGAAAGGACAGATTGACAAAATCATAGTTATTCATAAAACATCAATGAGAAAGAAAGAAAAAACAAACTAAACGAAAATAACAAAAACAATAACAGACATATTACATGTAAAGTGTCAAATTTGGTGATGTCCCGTTTGTCGTCTATGTTTGCGTAGTCCGCCATCGATAATCACCGGTCAAATTCTGAGTAATAAAAGAAATCTTTTGTAATGTTCATATTGACAAGCTACTATGCAACTGTCGTTTACAAAAAACCTAATAATATAATATAGCAATAGTTGACATTTTCCATACTTTTTCATACATTTTCCATACATTCCCATACTTTTGGGCTCACCGTCCAATTAGGCAAGAAAAAAAATTTCAACGCTCACCACCACAAAAATAATTGAAAACACGTATTTTTTATATTAACTTTAACACAAAAAATCACAAGGAAAAGACCAAATTTTATGTAAGTACTTATAAAGTACTTACATAAAATTTGGTATTTTTCCTTCGGGTTCTTTTTTTTCAAATATGGCGGCACCCCCTGGACAGCATCAATACCTCGCGATTGCTTCCGAGGCCCCCTAAGACTCTTCAGCGCCCACTGGGGGCAGTAGGGACCACTTTAGAAACTATGATCTAGTTTAAAAAATACAAATGTTACTTTTAAAAGAAATCGCCTTTAATGCTACATTTTTTTCTATGACAATGAACAGCCTATAATAGAGTGTCCATTCTTCTCATATACCTCTGCAAACTTCATTCTACTTCCATGGGACTTACTATCATTGTCCTAATAAAGTCCTTGATCTCATATCTCCTTGTCCTTGATCTGAACTATTGGGATACTCTGATCCCTGTGATGAGCCCTACAGCTTCCTTCCTTTCTCCTACCTCTGCCACTTCTTCATGCCCCCTTATACTTTCAGTACAAGTGGCGGGTTTCATTTTAAATCTAGTTATTTCTTCATCATACTCTAACCTTCAGGCCATCTACACTACAAATATATCAAAGTTATACAAATATATCAATAAACATTGTGCAACCTTACCTACTGTAATGCCGACCAACCAGTATACTCCCAGCAGACTCCTGATATCTCAACTTCAGTATTTTTTACGCCTGAACTGCGACACTAGTTCCCTACTCTTAGGTATCAAACAGACTAAATTTGTTAATGCTCATTACAAAACGAATACTAAATCGCGATTAAATTTGCGACAGAGTTAATTAAATAACGATGTCTTAAATTGTATGCAATTATTGCAGTTACTAATTTCATAATCCGAATGTCTACGCAGCTATTACAACTTTTTTTTAATATCATGTGATGGAACGAATTACGTGCGCCTGATGGTAAGCTACACGCCTGTCCATAACAGTTGCTGTGCCACTCAGAGCTTTAAATCTCAAAGATCTGAGGGGCACCGCCACTGCGCCCGTCACCCTGAGACATAAGTTGACAAGTCCCATGTGCCTGTAATTTCACCAGCATTCTTACGCTTCAAAACCGGACCACAATAATGCTGACATTCTTCCCTTCCACTTCACACTTCCCTTGACGAACTCTTTCACAAGGAGCTCTACTGCTACTAACATATAATATAAATAATGAATAAACTACACTCTATGAAAGTAGAGCATACTTGTTGTCTCTTATATTGTCAATAAATGTCATTGAGGACAAAAACGTTTAACTTCTCTAATAAATATTGCAGGGTGTGACAATAGAACACGTATGTCACGCGATTCACCGCACCCTCGCTGCTCAATTGAAGTACGCTCTCGTTTGGGGCACCAGCACCAAGTACAGTCCACAGCGCGTCGGCATTAATCACGTCGTGCAGGACGAGGACGTCGTGCAGCTCATCAAGAAGTGATAGTGGACCTTACAGTCCATTATAAAAAATAGGTTTTTTTTCCAATGAAATGACAATTGTTAGTTTTTTTAATTGATAATTTTCTTTTCACCTCACTAGCTCGGAAAGGCTTTCTTTCTCATTAGAAATCTGCGCGCCAAGACATTTTGGTACACCTAACTTTTTCTTTCGATGAAAAAAAAACATAATGACACGTTCGACTACGCAATTTGTCGTACGTTATTTTATATAATATAAATCCGTTGGTATATTTTATTCTTATTATTGTTGACATTAAATTGACAACGGTAACTAATTTTGTTTATTAAAACTTGTTTGTTATAGTTCAACTGTCTTTCTTTCATCTACCATTTTCCTCGCTATAGTGAGGTGAAAAGTTGTGTGTTTTGCTCGTCAGCAAAGTTGTTTTGCGTCTCGTGGCTTGATACGTTCGCTACGCTCAGAATTCTAATGTTAGAATCCTTCGCTTGCTCAGGTCATAAAACGAGCACTCGCGTCAAACAACAACTTTGCAGCCTTGCATAACAAATAACTGTTGCCGTCCGAATAAATGATGTTTTAGAGGTTTCGGCGGGCCCTCTGAAGGTACTACTAAATGTTTTTGTTTCTGTCGCTCTTGTTCACTACGATTACCTTGGCAACAAGTTCAGTAAACAGAAAACCTGTTTTAATAAGATCCCCACATTATTTTCAATAGATCAGTGCCTGAGCCATGGCTTTGCAGTGACAGTCGCAAGTGACTGCACAAATTTTGTGAAGTGATATTTCATATACAACATGATACTATTTTATTTTATTTTATGCTGTCACTAGTGACAAATGTCACTGTAAATTCATGGTAGATACCTAGTATTTTTTCTAGGTTTATAAAAACTTTGCCCTGTGCTTATATAAATTGGAAAAAATTGTGACCATTTATAAAATTAGAAATAGTGTGTAAAAAGAAATCAAAATCGCTAGGAAATAATAAACAAGCTATTTTTGTTTTATTTACATCAATTATCAAAGTTTTATTGTAATTAAAATTCAAATATTTTTGCCCCTTAATTAAATGTGAAATTTCAAAGGCCTTGCAATTACTGTTTCTCATTTAACTTAATAGATCAAAGGTAGCAATAATTTTAGGCCTGTCGGGGATTACATTATTTACCTCTTCCCTGATTTTAAATGATTGTCCGGTAGTTTTTTAGTTTACCTTGTAGGTTCAATTCACATTGCCGCAGAAAGACAGCGTCGATTTCGCCTTGCTGTTAGAAGACGTGCACAGTCACGGGAATACTCGAGCATTCGCGAGAAATGTCACGATTGCGCCTTGAACCTGTAGTAAGTGTTCAGTTATTTAATGTACAAGTTTTACATGACAAGTATGATGGACTTGGTATATGGGATATTGTTTTTATTTCGCTTAGTTGTGAAGCAGAAGAAGAGCAATAAAAGGAATATATTGGGATGCCGACAACATCTGCGGAAATTCCCGTAAATGTGCGAGCATTCAGCAAGCGCGAGAATTATCCGACCTTTTTTGGCTCATATTTGCGCTTTGTACGCTGCATAATTGTCATAATGTTCATTATGCTATGTACAATTTTATTACAAAAATTCGCTTTCATTCCATGGTAATTGTGCCAATGTAAATTGAGCCTATGTGTGCCGTATATCGAAAGATCTGTGCCTCTACCGTGAAATTACAGTGACAATTATCGCTAGGAACCGCGTAAAATATTTGTATACAAAATGATGTTTCTTCTTGAGACCGCTAGGGGCGCTATACAAAATTGTGTAGTAATTTACGCGGTCACTAACGACAACTATCACAGTACACTCATGGTAGAGGTACTGGTATATAATAGCGAGACATCACGCATTCAGTCTGTTACCGGGCTACGGTCTCTGCGGAGCAGTGATGCTGCAGGCTCATTTATATAGCTGCTTTTCCCTTTGAATGATACATAGAATTTACTAGCCATAAGCGTTGTAGTTATAACCTATTGTTAATGAAGCGATTTTGTACATAATATAAGGCTACATTGTATATATTTAATTGGAATAAAAAAATATAAAAAAATTAACTTATTTAAATTTTCACAAGGTTCTAGACTAGAGGTGCCCAAACTTTTTTGTCTCGTGGATCTCGTGCCATTTTTTTCTGTTTTGTGTAGACCCGTAGATTTGTTCACTTCACTTTTTATTTATATAAATGGCTCCATCATTATGAGAAATGACGATTTTTCCAATGTCACTGTCGAAAGAAAAAAAAGAAATACACTCGGCTCTGTTGTGCCATTAACCGGTTTTAGATTTGTTTACAAATTCATCAAAATGTGTATTTGACAGCTGACACAGTGCTACACATTTTGATAAGTTTAATAGCATAGTAAGAAACTTTAAAAAAGTATATGTTTTTATATTTATACAGGGTGCTCCATCGTGCGTGAAGCAACTCAACAGCATAATATGCTATGTCCGGACGTGTTCTAACCATGAGATATGCTAAAGCATCAACTATTTCGCGATTGAGGAGGCTTTCCATTGATACCTCTTTCCCTGATTGTGAAGTCAGCCACTATCTCGATAGACGTGGAAACAGGGCTGCAGTTTGTCATTCTGAAACGGTCTAAAACTTTTTTGGCATATATACCTCCTCCTGATCGCCAAAAGTAAGGCCAAAATAGTCAGAGTAAAGTATGCGTACTTGTTATTTCACCAGAATATATTTTTCGCAATTATAACAAACACTGGTGTCCACCAGGGTGGCTGGACCAAACGAGAAACTACCTTAGCGCTGACGGAAATATTAAAGAAATAAAGTGGCCAGTCATTCTGACGTCAGGTTGGCTGACCACTTTACGTTTTTCATGGTTCTAGCAATATATAATTTACGTTTTTTATATAACAATTTACTACCTAAACATACTTTTTTCACTATTTTAATTTAAAAATAAAATAAAATGCCTTTGCAAATGTTGTCTTCTAAAAAGACAGTTCATCTCCGTGTAATTGCTAATAATATTTTTTACAGGCGCTTGCAATAAGCTAACAATGGTTTCTGTATTATCTTTGCAAGCAATATTTTATATTATAACAAATATTATAATATATAATAATTAATTATATTAAAATTATTAATACAAAGTTCGAACACTCAGAAAAAATTCCTTCGATCCGGCCGAATTCGATTTAGTATTAATCTGGATCTTTGTATTAATAATTATTACAAACTAGTGAAGTAATTTCACAAAAAATAATTGAATATCAATTCAATAAAAATTAAAATACAGTGAATAGCGACATCTCTCGCCAGGACTGGTAGCTGTAAAGGTACTAACTGGGTGATAATCTTTCATAGATTTCTCATAGATATGTAATGAGTTCGCTTTTCTAACGTCATTAGTAGTTGAATGAGCATATTATGTTTCAAAACCAAAAGGGCGCACAGTGGGCCCAAATTGATAATTCGTTGGCTTAGGCACATTTTGTGGAATATCGAGCTGATTTAATATGATAAATAATGAAATTCTAACCATCTTTTATTCTTGTGTAATTTCTTGACAAACAGATACTATCAGAAAAAAAATCATGAAGAAATACTTACTTACGTTTTTTTTTTTTCCAATAACATGAAAATCCGTTTTGGGGTGATATGATCACATTATAGTTCCAAAAATTTTTCAGTTCACTGTGTGTTCAGTGATTTGATTGTGACTTGATTGAAAAGAATCTGGACAGCAGATGTTGGTCAAACTTTGTTATTCATTTTGTATGAAAATGTTCTTTATTAAATTTGACCAACTTCTGCCGATTCAGTTATTTCTTCCGATATAATGAAGCTATTCTATAAGAAACTGAATCTATTAGCATTAATAAAAATTAGTCAATTTTATTCATTTTGTATGAAAAAATATTTTATGAAATTTAACTTCTGCTGTCCCGATTTTTCTTCGTCCCATACAATGAAATGATCCCTTCATGAAACTGATTCGAACAGCAACAAAACAAATTTTGATTAATTCTATTCATTTTTATGGACAATTCACGCTTGACCAAAAAATTGACTGTGCCAAAATTGTTTTCACAAAAATGACGAAATGGTTCATATGACAGTTTCCTTGTATCTTCTATGGTTTCGGATTTCCCCATACTGTCCCATTTAAAAAAAAACGCTGTATACACCGAAAATGATCAACAATTTGGCGTAGCTTTCAAGAAAAAGAAATGTAACAGAAAGACGGTAGATATATATATATACGTATCGTATTTCCACTACATCGGGAAGTACGCTTTATATTTTTAACAATTGTGAGATCTTGTACTCGTCGTAATAGAACTCCTTATACTAACTACTTATGGTGGCGTGCGGACGCCGGGCGGCCTCGCTACTTTTGCCTTTAAAAAATTTAAATAGCTCTTTAATGGCGACAATACTATGACTTGTTGAGTGTGTGCGTTATAATTTATTATTTATAATTTATTTATAATATTTAAAAATGTCAAAAATATATTATTTTGACTCTCAAAAACTCACCACAATCCAAAACAAAATGAATATTTTTTTTTCTAAGCATATTTAAATAAAATATTATTTCCTTTAATTAATACCTTGAATTTACGTGCATACCTTTCATAGAGTAAGTAAAATAAAAGTTTATAAAAAAAAATAGAAGTTACAATAACATCCTTTAATAGTCTTAAAATAAATAAACCATGGTACACTTATTCCATACACACCTCTTCAAGTTAAACTAAAATAATTTGAACTAACAACTTCATGTGGCTTTTTCGCTATTAATAATTAGGTCGGTTTCCACTGTGGCTAAAGCCCATTTGTGTTCTGTGATCTCGAGTGCTTCCCATTCGGCTTTGAAGGCGGCTTTTGGGTCTGGAGGCATGGCCATTGCTGCTCCTGACATTTGTTCTTGCATTATCTTCGACTGATCAGCAGCTGGAGATAAAGACAACTAACTTAAGCACATCCATAATCACTGGAAATCCTATTACTTCAAAATATTTAATCATCACGCAGGATAACTGTGACTAACTCCAACCTACTCTACCAATAAGACATGCATTTATCATAACTGTGTTTGCTTACCATTATTCTCTCCCAGCACAAGTGCATAGATAGTTCTCAGGCCAAACACATTGAGGAAGTACCATGAAGCAGAGGAGACCCATGCGGCGTCCAGGTGTGCCAGCTCGACACCACGTTGGAGCATTGGCTTGAATCGCAGTGTTAACGGGAATGGAACTTTGGCTGGAGAAAATTGTCCTTTGATTAATGCAATGCTGCTTTTTACAATATTGATGCTGTTGTATTTCACAATATTGATGCTGTTGTATTTTACATTGTTTGTTGAACTTAGTACAGCTTAGATCACTGTTTCCCAAACTTTTTGGCTCTCCGCCTACTTATGTAAAATAAATAATTGAAAACATGTACTTTTTATATTAACACAAAAAATCACTAGGAAAAAAATTATATGTATACAGGGTGTTGATTTGCATTCTCGCCATATTTAAGAAATTAATAATAGAAATAATGCTAAATCATCTAAAAATATTTAAAAAATATTCTGTTCAATATTCTGGCTAATTGTATCTAGTAAAGTTTTGTAAAATTGTCCCGCAAGTGTACTCACTGCAGAGGACAGTGACCCTGCCACTCGCTTCACCGATCGATATGGAATCTTTCTCGATCACTTATTTACCTATTTTTTAATTCATGTTTATGTATTAGTATTGTTATAATTTACTAATTATTTACATGAGTTACAAAAGTTAACTGAAAAAATATTTTTTGTAACTTAGATTTGGTACTAACCAACTTTAGGTTATATGAAAGTAGTGCTAGAAGTACCTAGCTCCACAGCTGGTGGCAGGCTCCGTACCAGAGCCAGCCACAGAAATGCAGTTTCGTTTCAACTTAGCACATTGTTCACAAAAGAAAAAGCAGAAAGAAACTAGAGACTATTTTCGCCCGCAATTCTTTGACACTCGTAACCTGCGTAAACTAAATGTTTTATGCCATAAGAACGCACTTTATGGTAATGCAAATGGTAGCAGTTTTTTTTTGCTATGGCAAGCAAGGTGGACTGATGATCTACCAATCACTTGCTTGATACAATACTCCCGTCTCTACTCATACCCTGCCACCAAATAGATCTAAAATGCATATTTTCTGCACATACTGCACATAGGTCATTGTTCAAATGGTTGCCAGTACCTGTGGCATGTGTAGTGCAAGACAATGACCTTTGGATCAAACTTAGTTACTGCAATTAAATATAAAATAAGTATTTAGGAATTTTTTTTAAATTTTTTTTTAAGTAATTTAGGTTCACTTTCGGATATAGAATGACCTCTGTAAATATGGCGACAACGCAATTCAACACATTGTATAATGTAGTTTGTTAATATAGATAATTTTAGTTTTTTTCAAATGCGGTAGCACCCCCTGGACAGTATAAACTGCTTCCAGGGTCACTACCCAAAGACTATTCTATTCTATTCTATTCTTCTCAGAAATATTACACTTGTGATTGTATGACACTCACTAGTAAGGAATCCACTGAACATCCAGTTGATCCAACCTCCTATGACGATCATGGGCAACACATTGGTCACATTGCCTTTCAGCATATCTGTCATCATGCCTGGGTCTGTCATTGGGTTCTGTTGAAAGCTTACATGTTTAGATCATAAAATACAACACCAAAACGTGGCTTGATTGATTGATGAATTCAGGATGAGAGTCGGGTCAGTGACCGTTATTAACATGCTAAATGGCACAAACTATAGATCACATTGTTTTTGTAACAGTGACAAATAATAAAGTTCCTAATCTTAAATGGTACAATTTAAAGTGTCTCTTCAACCTTCTCCGGTAACTTCTTTTTACTCTAAAACTCTAAATCAATTGACATGAATTAATTACCTGTGAAGCCGCAGCTCTTTTCTGCACCTTGAAATAACCTGTTTCCTCATTATTGAACCAATGACGCCGCATCGCAAACGACTGCCGCGGCAAGTACTTGCCGTTCTCACGCAGAAGACGAGCACGAATCATTACCTGACTGTAAGAATTTTCCAAATTATGGAATTACACTTGCTATCAAAAGTTATTAAATAAAAAATAAAGGTGCAATAACGAACATGTCCATGTATTTATTATCACGTGCAATTTATATGACTTTACAATAATCAGACTATACGGTCATATTGATTAGTGTTGGTAATTATAAGTATAAATTAGGTTATGGATAACATCGGATCATTAGGAAGGTTTTCACGCGTTAAATGGATAGTAAAATCGCCAATACGAATAAAAGGTTACCTGTCTTGAACCTGGATAAGCTCAATTTTCTTCTGCGAAGACAAAATTATAGATACATAGTGCCTTACAATTCCAACTAAAAAGGTAATCACAACGATGGGTAGAAATACCCAAACTCGTATATTTGGATCTAGCAGTAGTTCAGCCATGTCGTCGCAGTAGTTTCCTGTTCGATTTTCTTTTAGTTTATTAACCAATTAATATAAATTTCCCTGTCTCCGCTCTTGACTGAAAGAATCGTGAACA